TGGAGGCATGGAGAAGGGTATTATATTCTATATTATCCTTAGAGAAAATTCATTACTTAAATAAAACAAAAACATAGACAAAGTGACCAAATAGACCACCGTAGTTTCTTTTCAAAATAGGACTCGTGTGCTCCGAACTGGGCAAGTTTATACTTTCAATAGGATCAAATAAGTAGTATTTGGGGAATAAAACATAGTTAGTCTTATTTGTACATTTTATCTATGTTTTAGTCCTATTGGAGCAGTTTCTTTTATTCTCTTGTAGCAAGGTCAACACTTGTTCTCAGTCACATGCATACAGATAGAGAATGATTTATATAGTTGAGGGTTGTCATTGTGGCCAAGTAAAAATTAATTAAATGCAACATCAACTTCATCTCTTAAGTTAAGAGTCTTAACCCAGGAATTGTGACAAAATCTATATTTATTCAAGTGAGTTAAGTTTTCCGCCCAAGGCAAAGAGGGCATTTCATTACTTTCATATTTAGTCTTTCACATAAACTTTTTGCTGCTCTGTTAAGTGTTGACGATTGCCTATTACATCTCAACACATCTGGTACTCGTCTTATAAATTCTTTGGGAGTTGGATTGAGACATTAAGTCATTAACAACTTGACACATATTTGATTGTCTACTATATAAGAAAATTCATGTTCCAAACCCTTAATGGTACCAAAATAATTATATATGTGTAGTTTCTTAAAACATAAATGTCCAGTTCTGATCCAGAAGCACTAATAAAAAAGAGAACTTAACTATAGATTTTTACAAGAAAACACCTTTTACAAATCTTTGCCTCAAAACTTGGCTGTAGGTAGAGTTTCTCAAAATGTAATACTCAAGTGGTGATGAGATGATTCATGGGAACCCTAATTTTCTATTTATTCTTCAAGAAATGTGCTCCAACCAGTTTCCATGTCAATTAATTGTATCTAAAGGAGTTATAGTGCTAAAATAAAAATATGTAGAAACAATGTGCTGAATAAACATGGGCTGAAATGTGTTTATAGAGATTGATCATGTAAGAAATGAATATGGTTAATATGTGGTGGCTGAAAGAAACATCACGTCACCACCGCTAAGGGAAGATATACATGGGGTTGGCATGACTGACATAGTAGCACCAAACTAACAAATGTGATTTACAAAAATTGGACCAACCCCAAGTTAGATAGTAGTAAAATATACATACGTCAGACACATAGGCGGATCCATGTGAGGGCTGGGGTGGGCTCCAGCCCAGCCCAATTTTTTTATTACTACAGGTAAAAATTTAATATCCAACCCACCCCAAAGTTAATGTTCAGCCCACCCCAAGACTAGGCTCAAGGCATATATTTGGAATGAGGCCCAAACATTTATAAGCCCGTGACCTCTACAACAAATGGTCTCAGTGCCTAACATCCAAGCAATGGGCTTAGTCATTCCACACTTAAATTAATGGGAGGAGCATTTTGTTTATAGAGCACTTAGATGAATGAACTATCCTTTGTAGCCGGTGTGGGAAACATTGAAAGAACAAATTTTCGGTGTGGTAAACAAATTTTACATGCGGAGACTCAATACATGTGCAAATTGTGCAATCCTATATTTCCATCTCACCCACGTCAATGCACTCTTAAAATTTATAGCACATTATATTACGACATTACTTTACAACATGAAGATGCTAAACATTAATTTTACAATTACTATATTACTAATATATATTATTATATTAATACTATTATTTTTATTACTTCTATTATTTTAATGATTTTTTCCTAAAATATTATTATTAAAATTAAATAAGGATTAAAAATGACTAAAGTCACTATTGTTTTTTCCTAATACATTACTAACATTAAATAAGAGAAAAAAATATCTATTCAATTTTGAAATTGGGAATACTTATTAGTTATGTAACTTATATGTACACCAATTGTTTTTTGTTTTATAGATGTATTTTAATTCATACCAACAAACACTAGAATTTTTTATATAGTCATTACTAAATTTATAAAATTGCACTAAAATTAAAATGTTTAAATTTTAAGACATATAAAATGTATTCCTATAACTATTCGAACTCAAAATCTAGCGCGTGTTTGAGATCGAAGCTCATTACGCTCGGGTCATTAAATTAAATTCGAAATCACGCACGAACTCAAGTAGTTCGAAAAAAGCACGGTTTGATAATAGCCCTAAGCTAAATCTTTTGTTTGCAGCAACAATTTTTTTACTACTTAGCTCACCCACTCTCCATTCCTGGATCCGCCCCTGGTCAGATGTCTACCAGATAAGACTACACCAAATTGGATTTACACAAACCAAATCAGGCAGACACAAATAAAGAAGGCTAGAAAAATTCATTCTAAATAAAAAATCCTAAATATTACAATAAAAACAATAATAATGTTTTTATTATATATTGTAGCATAAGGACATTTTTAGTTGGACTAATTTCGATCGCAAATCTGACCAGATCAAATAATGTTGGATGAGACTTATACATTCCAAACCAGAGCATATGTAATTAGACTAGATCAGACCATACTTAGACAATAGTAAAATGCATGTAAAATAAATTGTTACGATACTACATCAAACCGGACCAGTTTAGATGAGACCAAACTAGCTAGACTAGTTATACCGTTAAACTTCATACTAATTTAGAAAAACCATTTTAAAATTTATAAAATATGTTTTTTCTTCTTCATCACACTCTACAGAATATTCAATCTAAAGGTATAATTTTGTAATACTTAAGAAGGAAGACATATAAACTAAAAACATTACTTTCTCACCAGATATGATTATTGAACAAAGTTACAAGGTATGACTGTATTGTATAATATTATTCATGCTTTTAACTAATAAGTTATAGTAATCGAAATACTCATAATATATATCTGTGTAAAATATTGTCGTAATAGGACTTTACTTATATAAAGGGGCGGACCCAGGAAGTTTATCTTGGGAGGGCGGTATCTTAAAAAAAATATTTTTTGGGATGGCGAAAATTATTTTTTGGTATATATATACACTAATTTTTTTTTGTTGGAGGGGCGACTGCCCCCCGGGTCTCTACTACGGTCCGCCCCTACTTATATTGCAATCCACATGGGTACTTCGAACAATTATGTAAATTATAATCTCAAATCAAAAAATTATTTACACGTGTTTTGTAAACCTAATAAAAAAATGTTAAGCAGAATATTATTCTCCTAAGCCAATTTTTAAATAGTAAACTTCATAGTATTAATATGTATAATTTGATGTTGATTATATATTTGCAAGACTCATAGTCTGTAACATGTAGATCCTTATGTCTTGATACCGTTACAAAAATCGTTAGTTTTTCCGTGCAAGACATGGGTAATTGATCTAATATTAAATAGGAAAAATTGACAAGAATAATCGCACATTTCACTGGTCTTTTCATAATAATCTCACCTTTAGGTGATCCCAAAATAATCTCACATTTGTATTCCATCTTCTTTCATTGGACCTTGACTAGTTGATGACCTATTATACTAGGTTTTTACTTTTTCTTTGAAAATCTTATATAAATAATTTCACCTTTCACGCTCAAAAATGGTCCCATGTTTCATTTTTGCTCCCTAAATTTTTTCTTTCCAGTTTCATCCCGACACTTTTAATTGCTTTTTTTTTTACCCTTTTGTTCTTATTTCTTTTCCATTTTTATTTTTCTATTTCTCACTCTTTTAGATGAGTTTTTTTGTAAAATTTCCCTTCAAAATAGTTCTTTTTTGTCATTTTCTTTTTCTTTCTGTATTTTTTATTTCATTTCCCATTTTATGTTTTTCTTCTTAATAACTCTCTTCTCATTATATCTTTTTCTACTCTTCTTTTTGTTATGTTTTCATTTTTTTCATCTTTCTCCTTTTTTCTTCTTGTTATTTTATTTATGGTTTTTCTTTTCTTCTTCTTTTCTTTCTTCTTGTTATCTTAATTTCACCATCAATATGTTTTTTCTCCTTTCTTCTTTAAGACAGTAAGTAGAAAGAAGAAAAAACATAAAAAAGTAACAAGAAGAAAAAAGCGGGAAAGTGAAAATAAAAAGAAAACATAACAAAATGTAGAGTGGGAAAAATATCTTTAATAAGAAGAGAATGATCAAGAAGAGAAACATAAAAATAAAAATGAAATAAAAATTTGGGAATAAAAAGAAAATGACAAAAAGATCTATTTGGGAAGGAAATTTAAAAAAAAAAATCTAAATAGATTAAGAAATAAAATAATAATAAAAAGGAAAAGACATAAGAGAAAAAGGATAGAAAGAGCAATAAAAATGTCTACGGATGAAATTAAAGAAAGAAAAATTTTAGGGAGAAAAAAGAAAACTGAAACATGGGACTGTTTTGAGTAGATTTGTGAAAGATTGAATTATTTATATAAGATTTTCAAAGGGTAAAAAACCTGACATAGTAGGTCATCAAGAGGTTAGAGTCCAGTGAAAGAAGATGAGTGCAAAGATTTAATTATTCTGTTTATTACGAAAATGTGAAATTATTATGAGAAGATCAGTGAAATATGGTTAGAGCATCTCCAATGCTAAAACGTTAACGGTGCATACGTGGCATGAGAAATAACCAATTAAAAAACAATAAATACAATATCTCTCTCCTTCTTTCCACGGTCTTATGTGTTTATGGTAAGTTTTAGTCTGCAATGTCAGTCACAATTTCCACATCTAGACATTGTGTTTGACATTGTCAAGAAAAACTTACCCAAATGATGTAAGATCCTTCAAATAAGGAGAGAGATATTGTACTTATTATTTTTTAATTGGTTATTTTCTATGCCACGTATGCACCGTTAACGTTTTAGCATTAGAAGTGCTCTTATTATGAGATTATTTTTGTTAATTTTTCCGACCAAATATACAAATATTGCTCCACTATCAAATGTTATCCGGCCCACATAAAATCAGTCCAGCCCAATTATAAAGACAAAAGCAGCAGGACGTAGGAAAACATAAGGAGTCGTCTTCCTCGTCGATTAGCAGCAGGAAATAGAGTGATACTATCGCAAAAGTTACTGAGTATGAGACACGTTCAAACTATAACAAATAGGAGGACAAATTAGAACGTCGAAGTACCGCGGCTACTACCCACCCAGTATGAATCTTATCTTATGATCGTACATTCCTTTTGATTGCGTATTCGTTATTGAATTATTTATTATGTCCTTACTTTTAAAACATAAATTGACCGCATTGTTATTTATTGAATTTATGACAAAATTTGTTAATTTGACAGTGGTAGGATGATAGAGGATTAGTAATAGGTAGGCAACTGATTGAACATCGGTGCATCCCAGATTACTGCCAGCCTTACTATCTGATAGTCATTTGGTGCTGCGATTTGTGGAGTGTCAAAGAAAAAACGGAACTTCAGCAGCAATGGAAAATTGTTTTACTTGGGATGGAACAAAACCCTGTGGAAACCCTTTCCGTTTTAATCCGCCGCCTAGCCGTAGACCTTTGATGAGTGAAACTTGCCGCACACTGTTTTGCATCCTATCCAGCTGCTCCACCCGTTCAGAGTTGCAACATTCCCAACAAATACAAGGTAACTTAAGATTGGACTTGCATTGCCTCAAACTGCCATCATTTTTTGTTTGCCTTGGAATTCAGAAGATAAAACAGATTAAACTGAAGTTGTAATTTCTGTTTGGATAGAGTAAACTGAAATAGAATTGGCGAGGTTAAGTGAATTTAGGCTTAGTAGAAGTTGGGTGAACCCAGGTGCGTATATAATAATGTTATTTGGATAATTTTCAAGTTAATCTTGGTGAATGAAGTAAAAGTTTTTTGGATGGAGGTTAAGCTGGGTGAATTTAACATCCAAAGTCCCCTATTTTAGGCTCTTTAGAACTGTTTTCTGTAAAATATCTCTGAGGCAGACATAAGTTTTTTTGAAAGGTGAATCCATAAAATCTATAAGAACCCATGTTGGCTTAGAATCCAATGGTACTAAATTCCATTATACCCGATCTTTCAAGCGTAATATGTGTTAACTTGTGCTGCTATTTTTTTTTTTTACATTTCTGCAAAATGTTAAATCAGGAAATGGTACTACTACTACTAAGGAATTGGTTGATCAACATTTGGAGGCTGAAATTAAGTTAGTTGATGCTACTGATGATGACAAGAACAACGGTCATGCCATTTGGCAGGACCTAGGTGATATCATCGATGCACAAATGATGGATTGTATAGATTCGTTGGATCAAATTGAAGATTCAACAGAATGTGACGCGCAAGCCCCTCAAGAGAATGATGCTAACAATGGGGTAGTGAGTTCAGTCTCTCTGGTGGACACCAAGCAAGACAGTACTCTTGATTTTCAGTTGGATGGTGAGGAAGCAGAGAAATCAAACATCCGAGACTTGCCAGCAGGGGAATCTGATTTTGAAAAACCGCAAAAAATGGATACAGAAATCTCTATTGGAGAAGCTTGTGTGACTAGAGGATCATGTTTACATATAGAGACTGAATCGTCACAGCTTGTTCAGATTGATCAAGAGAAAAATGATATTGAGGAGAATGATGTGTTGGGAGATACGGAACATGGATTGCAACTTAAAGAGTTGGAACTGCAAAACTTGATTTCTCCTTCCGGACCCTTAACCTTATCAGTTAGTGAAGAGGTTGAAGAAGGACAAATTTCTGGAGATGATGAGGTAAATTATCAAGAGAATGGTGCTAACAATGGGATAGTGAGTTCAGTCTCTTTGGTGGACACCAAGCAAGACAGTACTCTTGATTTTCAGTTGGATGGTGAGGAAGCAGAGAAATCAAACATCCGAGACTTGCCAGCAGGGGAATCTGATTTTGAAAAACTGCAAAAAATGGATACAGAAATCTCTATTGGAGAAGCTTGTGCGACTACAGGATCATGTTTACATATAGAGTCTGAATCGTCACAGCTTGTTCAGAGTGATCAAGAGAAAAACGATATTGAGGAGAATGATGTGTTGGGAGATACGGAACATGGATTGCAACTTAAAGAGTTGGAACTGCAAAACTTGATTTCTCCTTCCGGACCCTCAAACTTATCAGTTAGTGAAGAGGTTGAAGAAGGACAAATTTCTGGAGATGATGAGGTAAATTATTATGAACCTGACGATTGCATGATTTTTGAAGAGGCAGTTTCACTCGAACAGGAGATTGCTCGTGTGTGTACCACAGCTATTAAAGAACCAACTCATGATGTTCGGGATACTAAACCTCAGGAAAAGGATGTTCTAACTTCAGTTTGTAATGAATCTAAGAAGTGTATTCGAGAATTTTCAAAAAAGGTGGAGGAGAATGACTTTGAAACTGTTGAATGCAAGAATGGTGCTGAGAAAGTTTATTTTTCATTTGATAATGTTATAGAGAGGGACATAGTTACTAATCAAATAGAAGGTGCTAAGAAGGTAGATGGATCCGCTGTTTTTTATCCCTTGAAGACATCAACCTCAGAATATGCTACTGAAAAACAAGGTTTTGTTACTAAGACAAAGGTGTACTTTTATTCCTCTGATTTAATTTCTCTGTTAACATTGGTTTAGTTGTGCTAGAGATTTGTGTGCATTTACACTTTCCAGGTGTTGTGTGGTAACCTTACCTGAATCTTTGTTGTATACATCATAACAGGATACAAATAAAATGACAAAGAAAAACGTCAGAGGGCCTATTACTGAGGAGAGGAAGGCAAAGCGAAAGGTATTTATTTTTTAATGGCAAAGTGAAAGGCAAACCTCCCTGTTTGATAGACTTTCACATCATCTTGAAAAGTGTTTTTGAAATTTGCCCATAGTAGCGAATTATGTACACAAATATTACTCTAATGATTTGCACCTTTTTGTCATTTAATGGCCACAATGCATCTGATAATTTTCACAGGTCAAAAAGAAGATTAAGCAAGCTGAAAAGAACAGAAAGTTAGGAGTAAAAAGATTAAAGCTGCCGCCACCAATTATGAAGCCAAAAAAAGTGTCATATTGCCACCATTATCTGAAAGGAAGGTGCCACGAGGTGATTTGAAGTCCTACAATATTGTTATTATTTTGGATCTCTTAAGGAATTCAAGTAAATTTAATATTCTTCACATATATTGTTCTCGTGCAGGGGGAGAAGTGCAATTTCTCTCACGATACAATTCCATTGACCAAATCAACGGTATACTTTTGTTGCTCCTGTGCAGTTATTGTGCATGTCGTATAACTGAAACTAGCAGGATTTAGGTGTTCAGACTTCTATCTCTGGATATAAGTGCTATTTAATATTGCAGCTTAGATACAATCTTAAAGCATGTTGAACATGATCTGCATGGTTTTCATGTATTTAAATGTTCAATGTTCTGATGTTTCAGCCTTGTTGCCATTTTGCACGCAATTCTTGCATGAAAGGGGACAATTGCCCTTATGATCATCAGCTCTCCAAATATCCCTGCAATAATTTTGCTTCCATGGGTTTTTGCAGCAGAGGAGCCAAGTGTTTGTTCTCACACGACGTATGGATACTGTATACTTAATCTGTCAAAGTTTTCATTTTTCCATTTTTTCCCCAATTAATATGATTTATCTTTTATTTCTGGTATTCCTTCAGGTGCCAGCTAAGACAGAATCCTCAAAGACTCCTGCCTCCGCGGCTCATTTGGGCTCACCTTTGCTTCCATGTAGTTTAAGCCCAAAGATGCAAGTCAGTGCTAATGGCAGTAGCCCTCAGCTACATCTGGGTGAGCCCATGCAAAAGCTTGCTTTTCAGACACCAAACGGTGTCAGCTTTATTACTCGTGGGAAGTCATCATTGGTGAAGGAGAGTGGTTCTGGAAAATTTACTCAAAAGGAGATTCTCTCCAACTCAGTCATTGCCCAAAAGCCAAATGATGTTATGAAGGAGAGATCACCTGCAGGTATACCAAATGGTGTGAACTTCCTTTGCTTTGGAGGAGCTACTTTGAATGATTCCACTCCTAATACAAACTCAAACATGCTTAACAGAGATGGTGAAAGTAAGAGTGGTGGTATATGTAGAATTGAGACGAGAACTGAAGCCCACCTCAAACCTACGCCTCGAGGAATTAGCTTGCTCTCATTTGGAAAAGCATCATCAGATGGCTCCACTTCAAAAGACCAATCTATCCTTTGTAGTAAAGAGCCCAATATTGCCACCCCCGTGGCTCCTCATGAGAGACAAAATTTGCTTAGGAGACTTGATGACTCCAGGAACATGCAGTTTAAGTTGTTATCTTCTCCACCTCTATCCAATCAGCTCTATGGTCAATCCACAGCGGGGAATAGTTTTGGTCTGCCCAACTCAACATTCTTGGCAAGCATGCTAGGCTCAGCACAAAAGGCCATCCAATCAACTTTAGCATTCTCAGCTAAGATCGAGCCTGGGATCAAGTTAGATCAATCAATTGGTGCATCTGTTGTAACTCCCCAAGTTATAGAGCACCAATGAGGTTTCAAAAAGGGTACTATTCAGATGCTATCAACAATTTCTGGAGTTGTTTAATGATGAGGAAAGCAAAGTGTTGCTTGCCTTTCCCTTAGTGAACATGCATGAATTGTCCTTGCGTTTGTTAGTAATGTTCAATTTAAGATGCAATATTGCACCCGGAGAAGAGTGGGAAGGATAAACATAAGGTATCTTCTTGTTGTACCTTCTTGGGTATGTAAAAAAAGATAAAGTATTTCCCTATGGCCCCCATTCATTTTTTCCTTAAAGTGTGTGTTTGTCAAGTTGAACTCCTTTTTCTTTTTCTTAAATCGACTCAAATTGTTGGCTAAATTTGAGTTCTTAAACAGCGTCCTTCCCAATCTATATAGAACATACTTCTTCAGACTAGGCTAACACAAGAATCCCTTAATATTCTGCAGGTTATCATGAACTCAGTGTTGTGGTTCATGTATCACTAAAATCAGGAAAGAGAAGAAAATGCCTCAACAATGGTTTACCAGTCATTCAACATTTATTGAATGTGAGTGATTTTTTCTTTAATTCGGGTTACTACATTTCATTAAGAAATTGGACGCTAAGGGTATGTTTGGGACTTAGAGGGTTAGGCTTGAAGGGGAGTGGAATGTTGAGGGGGGTTTATGACCCTCCCTTTCCTGTTTGGGATTTTAAAAAATTGGAAGAAATGGTTTTGGAGGGTTCTTATAAGTTACAGTTTCAAACATCTATAATACTACAAGATATCGAACTCTCTTTTCGATTCATCAATCCAATAGTCTTACAATTTTAGCATAAATAGTTCCAACGATGTCTTGTTTGAACTCAAGGTTTCAATTACCTTATGACATTTTTGTTAGTTTGTTTATAAATTTTGTTGTTCTGGAAGAATAGTGATTTCTCATCACTTTTATTTTTTTATATATAGATAAATGCCCCACATATTAAGATTTACGCCTTAGCCTTACGCCTCATTGCGCAATGAGGCTTACACAATACACCTTATAAAAATAGCGCCTCAACTACGCTAGGGGTGGACTGAGGCCAGGCCAGGACTAGACGGGCTTCGGGATTTCAGGCCCGGTACCAGCCCGGGTTTGTATCGGGACCGGGTCGGGCCAGGCTTTGGGATGGGACTGGGCAATAAATTAAAAAAAAAATAGTGCAATCGGGCCCGGCCTGGTCAGGACAAAAAAACGAGTCGAAGCCCGCCCATATAGCCACCGGGCTCTGGGCCGGGCCGGGCCGACCCGTCCCAGTCCATCCCTAAACTACGCGATATGCAATTTAAAACATTGTGCACCATAAGGTTTGTTCTTTGATCCTTTCCTTTGCTAGTGTTCCTAGTGAGGATGTATCCCTACCACCACACACCACACCCTCTCCCATGCTATACAAAAGCGACCAAATGATTCTTCTGTCAAGTCTTACGCTTAACGTTTCATTTGGATATGTGGAGTCTATAACATGCATGTATTGTACTTTAAGCTTTTCATATCTTTGTGTTATTCATCGTTTGGAATTCATCCACCTGCGATTCTTCTGATCTCTCTACCATAGACCGCAGCTCTGCCATCAACTATATTGGCACCACTAACCTCTTTATTTCTCCAACGAAGTCAGGTAGGCCTTCTTCTCCTTCTCCTTCCTGGTTCTCTGTTTTTGTTCTTTCTGTTAATAGGTTAACTTTTCAAATCCTAAATAAAATAGTAATTGCCCCATATAGGACTAAAAGAGGGGAGAAATTCTTAAATAGGACCATGAATGTTTTTTTTCCCCCAAATAGGATTATTTTACTCCTATTTTAAAACATACGTATATTTCATTCCACTAATACCCCCTTCTCCCTTTTAAGCACATCAGCCCTGCACATAACCTCTTCCCCCTTCTCTCCAGCGCACTTTCTTCTCTTTCTTCCTTGCGCAGCATCGGTCGAGTTTTCCCAAGCCATCGCCGCCGCCGTCAACTTTGCCCTGCGCACCAGATCGACCAAGTTCTCTCTCACGCTGCCAATTTCGCCGTTGCCATTAAGGTTCTTCTTCTTCTTCTTCTTCTTCTTCTTCTTCTTCCTCTTCCTCTTCTTCTTCCTCTTCTTCGATTTTCCTCTGTTTTTCTGGATTTTGAATTGAATTTTCCAATTTTCGGACTTCTTTTTTGATTTTCTGGTTTCTAGTTTCTGAGTTTTAAAACAAATTCCGATTTTCAACATTTTGGATGATTGCTTCAGATTTGGCCAAGTTTATGGCAAAAATGTGTACATTAACATCATATTATGGCAGAAATGCTTTTGTATAAATTGGTTTTTCTGATTTTTTGTCAATAACATCGTTTTTCTAATTTCTGATTGTGCTAAGAAAATCATTCCATTAAAAAATTTAGTTGTTTGAATATTTGGTTATTTACTTCATGTTTTTCACTTTTTGCCAAATTTATGGCAGTTTTGTGTTAATATTCCAACATGAATCTGCCAACTCTTTGGCAGATCTGAAACTCTTGTATTATGGCAGATGCAGATCTATTCTCCAACTTTAAATCTGCCAACATAATGGCAGATTTATTCCGCCTGAGTTGTGACGATGGTTGTGGTGCTCAGAGGATGACGGCCGGCGGCGGTGGATGCCGGCGGCATGGATGGTGACGCCGGTGTGGGAAGCGACAGCGGCAAGGGGCGGACGATTGGTGGCAATGGTGCGCCGGCAATGATGCGACAGCAGGCGGCGAGCGCGGTGACAGGCGGTGCATTCGCCGGGAAGGGAGGCGACAGGCGGCGCCGGCGAGGGGGGAGGCAGGATGTGCCGGCGGGTGATTTGGCTCTGGCTGCGGCAGTTTAATTTCTAGGGTTTCAATAGTTTTAAATTTTAAATTTTAAAATTTAAAATATTAAAAGTGGGGTATTTTTGTCCAACTGCTCTGAAAATGGTCCTATGAAACTTGTGATTCGTTTATAGTCCTAAATGAGCAATTAACTTTGCTATTAGTCCTATTTTAGGCATTAACTCTAAATAAAATTTTGATTTTGGAAATTTCAGATGAAGAGCCAAATTTCTATGAACAAAAAAGTGATAGGAAATATTTGAGTTTGAATTTTTATATATTTAACAATTTTGATTGGTTTTGAATATGAGAATGCCACAACTATTATGTATTAGAAAAAAGACACTTTTGGAATTTGAGAGTGTTTGGTTATTAGAAAAAAATGTCACTTTTGTGGCATTATATGTATAAAGACCGCAATATTTTTTTTGGCTTGTTTGTCAAATGATATCAGTTTTATAACACTAAACGTATAAATATGTCATTTTTTTTTACTCCAGGGGGTCTCTGGGGGGCTGAAGTAATCATGGTTGAAACTCACTTCATTGAGTTTCGAACCCTTATGTGCCTAGCGGGTTTCGAACTCGAGACCTCTCACTAGGCACAGTAACCTCACAACCAGCTGGGCTGGAATGCTTGGTTTAAATGTCATTTTTAATATGATGAGTACACTAATTCACTTTGAAAATGCCACAATTATGATTCTAAAAATGCTTTTATTTTTCATCTAAAAATTATACCGTAGTATATTTTTACACCTGAAGTTGTCATATTTTATATGAAAAATGTCATTGTTATGTCCATATTATTATGAAGATGACGTTGTCGCTGGAGGTGTGCTGTGATTTGATGGAGGGCATCGGCTTCGTTGGAGGGTGGCAGCGGGCAGCGGCTTCATCTGAGGATGGCGAAGGCGACAACGGAGTTGATGAGGCCAGCCTAGTCCATATGATGAAGACCTGTCCCGACATCATCGAATTAGCCTTTACAAAGCCTAGAAGAGTTGATTTGGTTTCATCAAGGTCAAATTTGTCATGTTCGTACACTTTAGTCGTATAAAACATACAAGTCCTCTTTGTGTACTTTTACCTTTTTTTTAATTCCTATTTAGAGACTTCTCTTTGTACACTTTTGTATTTAACATTTTTTATTTTTCTAAACGCGCCAGAAAAAATTAAATTATGTACAGAAAGTATGTTAGGAGTAGTTTGATTAACATGATTATAAAATGGAGTGCTTGGTGAAAAACATATTAAAGAGTTGATAATTGTTCTCAGTATTCATTTCTCATGCTTTAATAGTATATCCACAATGTTGTTTTAATATTGAAGGCAACTCAGTCCTACATCTAAAAAAGGTCGTAAGTATTAATAAGAATATTCCAACGTGTAAATGAATATTTACAAATTGCACATTAGCTATTATGTAGTGACTTCCAAATAAAATTATCAGCATTGTTTGATTGTAGTACTACCCCGAAGAAGTTTATTAAAGTCACTCTATATATTATTATTGACTTGCCCTAAATCTGATAAGTGATGGCCATTGCACGTAAAAATTCAAAACATAATATGCACATCTATACATTATTGATCTCTTTTCAGTGTTTTCACTGCAACAATCTCACACCAGTTGAGTCCATACTTGACCGGTGGCTTATATATGCAAGGTGTTCCCTCCTTTTAATCAACTGGTCTTTTGGGAGTGCTTTCTTCACATGAGCTTATGGTATTGATATGAGTCTAGTATGAGCAAGGTTCGTAACACAGCATTGAATTTGCATTCATATATTCTTAAAGGAGACCGACTCCAACTCCTGCTCATCAAGTGAATATTTGATAGGTACAACTACTCATATCTTACTTTGCATGTATCTCGTATGTGAATATGCAGTGAACGGGAGTTGTGAATAGTTTAGTTTAAATACTGGTATTAGTCGAGGAATACGAGTATCAAAGGTATTAAATGGTCCTATAGATTCATAGAATTATGGGTACAAGCTTAATATATACGAAGTACTACTTATACAACAGTATCAACATCATATGTATCGATATGTATCGCATAATGTATCATAACGCCCTAACTACTAACGCTATCCGGCTCATGAATATCACAGTTGGGCTGGTCATGCCAGTTTAACATCAATCCTGACAGGCTACAACACCATGTTGTGGAAAATAGGTTGGTCAGGTTGATTACATAATGAACCACATGGATCAGGTAAACAAGTAATAGGGGGTACTCCTCATGGTAACATGTAAGGACAAGCGTTATATTCCCTCTGCCCCGAATTGCAAGGCATTTTATGGTTTACGATGTTTGACCGACGATAAAGCAAACGAGTCCATGTCCGCACTCAAATTATTTAAAAAAAAAATAATTACATATTCAGAAACTGCATTAAAAGCTTTACATAGTCGCAAAAGTCAGAATCAAATTTGATAAAAATTTGATATACGAGTATAAAGTAAGAGATTAAGAATGATTTGTGTTGACCAAATGAATAGGAAACATATCTTAACCAAGCACTCCAGCCTAGCTGGTTGCGAGGTTACCGTGCCTAGCGAGAGGTCTCGTGTTCGAATCCCGCTAGGCACACAAGGGTGTGAAACTCAATGGAGTGAGTTTCAGCCCTGATTACTCCAGGCTCCCCCCAGCCCCCCTCCCCCAGACCCCCCCTGGAGTAAAAAAAAAATAAAAAAAAAAATAAAAAAAAAAAAGAATAGGAAACATATCTTACAAAATGGGACTGAGGGAGTATCAATAAGGGCAAGAGTGGGGCGTCCTCACCCATAAGGACATCATTAAATGGTTTGACTTTTAAGATGGAATTGGAAGAATAATAAAAAGGGATATAAATTGAACTTTAATCACAAACTAAATTGAAGCAATAATAGCGTGATTGTAACTTGCAAGTGTAGCAATACGAGTGTTTGAGAACTGTTAATGGGTCCATTCTACTGCCCAGCAGGTCGTTTAAAGCATGACGATTGGAATGAGCTCTTTGAGTATCTTGTGTGTTTGGGGAGTAACTATTTCATATACTCCTCATCTTCATATTCCAGTTCAGTGAACAAGAATTTTGTGCTTTGGGTTCGTGGACCGCTTATTGATCTAACTATATCAACCTCGACAATATCCATATCATTTAAGTTTCATATGTTTTATGTTTATATTTTCAACTAGTTAACTGCTCTAAAGTTCAAACAATCTTTGAAATAAGTTATTTCAAGTGGCGGGTTTTTTCACACTGCACCAAACAACCTTTGAACTAGTGAAGTCAATCAACAAGCAGGTTTAGTCAATTGATCCACCCTAGCGGGCACCATAACTTGAGTCAAGCGGCGAATGCTTTTGTTCAACTAGTCAATTGCTCCAAACAATCTTACAAATAATTTTTAGGGGTATAATAAGTGCCTTTTATAAAAAAACTTGCATTATGTGTGTATTAAGTTGACTAAAAATAAATAATTCTTAAACAATTTAACATGGTTCTTTTTTGGATGGGGAGTAATTCAGGATTACTTGTTCAAATACCCTTCATCTACATATGAATATCACAAAATTTGGAGGTGGCGGGTGTGGGGGTGGGGTCTGCCATTCTATTTTGTACTGGATCAGATGGTTCTTGACAAGACGCTGTACACAACATTTTGAAGAAGATTGTAAATAAAAGCAACAGTTAGGAACAGAGAATGGATGCAGAACTCATTATATTATTATTCTGTATATATGATTAGTGAAAATAGAAAATAAAAAGTGATTTAGTACTTGTGGTGGGTATTTACAGACCAACTAATGACAAAATGCTCTCTCTGCTGATACCTACTATACTATTTACCAGCCTGGCTTCTTAAAGGGGAGCTTCCCCTCAGGATTAGCAGCAGCCAGAGAAGTTGAGGAAGAGGATGAGGAAGCATTAGCCCTATCAAACTCTTCTTTATCCTCTGTGAAAGCTTTGCTCAGAATTTCTTGAAGTACCATATACCTTTGCCTCTTTGATTGATGCTCTTCTGGAGTCTCATTCCCAACGCAAGCTATCTCTGATAAATCATCATTGTCCATGATTTTATTGAGAATCCCATAGCAGCGCGGGAAAAAGCGTTTTCCTAGTTCCACTGGACAAAGTAATTAATAACATGGACAATGAATTAGGCTATGTTTGGATCTCAGTAAATGCTAAGGGTGTTTTTTCTGTAGAAAAGCAAAGAATTTCAAATATGACTAATATATCTAAGTTCTTTACATATGTAAATATGTTTAATATTTCCTAAAAAACTACCCTAAGTAGGAGTAAAAATAATTTAGTTTCCCTAAATAAGAGTACTATGTTCCTTTACCCTAAATAGGGAGTACTAAGCTCCTTTTACATATGTTTAGTTATTTCTTAAAGAAACTGCCCTAATTAGGAGTAAAAATAATTTAGTTTCCCTAAATAAGAGTACTATGTTCCTTTACCCTAAATAGGAGTATTTATTGTGATTCTAAAAATTACGGTCATATTATGGCATTAATACTGGATATTAATGGCTGATAATGCCATAACATGGCAGCATGAGGGCAATCTTTTTTTTTTTTTACTCCAGGGGGGTCTTTTACTTCTGTTTAAAACAAACAATGTATTCCTGCTTAGAGGAACCAATTTGTTTTTACTCCTGTTCTAGTAATTTCCCTAGTTCTTATTAGTGTGTACATAATACTAATCAATTAAAAATAATTTTGAAAAAAATAGTAAACCTAAACTTTTACTGTCCTCAACATTTTCTATCTTTCCAAGTTTCTCATATACATTCCTCCCTAATTTTTGTCTTTGGCATTTTCCGTGTTCCAAAAGGATCCTTTAGTATAAAAAAGGATGGAGATGAGAAGAACTAGATGTGCATTAAAACCTGTTTTGGAAAGTGTCCTCATCCGATTCAGATGCTCCTCTTTGAGTTTGAAAGGCACATCGTTCAAATCTACAGTCATTCTCCTTGACGCATCAGCCATATTCTTGTTGATGCAAGATAGAGGGAACTCTGACGTGCCATCAACTTGGGCAATATCCATTGCAACCTTAGCTTCTATTGGGAAGAGAAGCTTAGCCAGCCCAACTGATCAAAAGAACCCTACCATTAATCACCAGTACAACAGTTGGCATACGTTATTTCTTCTTCAATGCTAAGCAGTCAAGAAGGGTCAAAGTTTGACAGATTGCTTACCATCTTAAGATAAAGAGGTTCTATTTGCATGGAGGTTCTCGTAAGAGGTGGTCTCACGGAGAGATTAGCCAAAATTTAATACTTCAGAGGCTTTGTAGAGGGAAACACTTAGAGGGCTTTAGTCTATACCTTAATAAAAAAATGTTTCTAAAAGTGAGTGAAGGGTGATTGCGATGTCATATGATCACCGATTATGTCATTCTATTAGTTTTTATTAAAAAAACTCAAATATCTATACCAAAAACAGAGTACTTAATATAAAAGTTAAAAGTAACACGGAGTACCTTTTTTTTTCACGGAGTACTTAAAAACAGATATTTAAGAATTATTACTTTCAATGTTTAAAGTATATTACATTTTTGCTTCATTAGATTGGAGGGCATCTATCCAATTCAGCTTCATGCTTTCATAAAATGAAGGTGCAAGACTTTCTAGGAGTAAAAGAGCTACTGCAATACAACAACAACATCCAAGCCTTAGTCCCAAAAGATATTGAGGTCGGCTAACATGAATCGATACATGATATCACCACCAAAAGGAAAAGAAAGAAAATAAAGATAAAAAAGATAAGCTATTATGAAAGAGATAATATAAAAAGATGAATATACCTAAAAATGAAAAAATAAAAAGGATAAAAATAATGTTTATATATAAGGGGGTACATAAATGGAAAATGAGAGAGGCAGGGAGAGCTGGGGTAGGAACGCACAGTTCAAACATGATTTCCCACCACTATAGCAAAATAAAAAAGGAATTGGAAACACTATAGAACCTATAGTAATCCAAACTTCCTAGAAACGAAAATCAAGATAACCCACACCATAAACCACACTGATCAAGAAGCTGTATTAAACCAGACGCCTTCTATAACAAAACTAGCATACCATCCATGCCATGGGACATTTGAGTTATCTGATTATGAATCACTGAAACGCTAGAGGAAACTTTTATAGGTTGAATCTAATAGTAACTATAAAAATCTAAAAGAACAAGGGAAAATGCTCCTTATCCCCCCGCCCCCACGTGTTAGCACTTTAGTTTAGTAATCTGCTGACTGCCTATTTCTAATCACATACATAAGTTCCTTGTGTTTAATCATACGCACTACTTATCAGGTAAGACAAATTGACTACATAATTTTAACTGTATGATAAACCTAGTGGACTAGAGTTAATAATATGCCGGTACTTCCAACCTCTTGCATATATAGCAAGAGGAGTAGATAAATAAAGACATCAACAATGGGAGCAACTATAACTCTATAAGATAGTTTTTACAGGAGGTCTTGTTTAGTGACTGGGGCACAATAACAACAACAACTACTACTACTACTACAACAACAACAACAACAATAATAATAATAATAATAATAATAATAAATTTACAATAAGATTATGGTCACTGAAAATAAGGAGGAGTCCGGAATGATTATTTACCTCTATTTTCAAGGTACAACAATTTCATTCTCAGATCATCACCAGCCATAGCAAGAGATTCAGAAGCTTCTCCTAGTAGTGGATCCCTTCTTTCTGCTTGCTCCAAAATCTCTATACACAACCGATTCTTTGGGGTAGTTTTTCCTTGCTCTACAGGTTTTTTATAATCCATGGCACGAGTGAGCCTCTTTGCAATTTGAAGCGCTTTCCTTCCATCTGATGTCAAATCAGAAGGTCTAGCTCCCTTTGTCAAAAGGGACACTACAATTTTAGGATCTTTTCTTATTGCAGCAACATGCAACACTGTGTATCCCCTCAAGTTTCGATGGTTCACATCTGCAATTGATAGATCAAGTAACTCTGATGTAGTCTTTGCATCACAATAAGCTACAGCATAGTGGAGAGCATATGCATCGTCTAAATTAGTATGTCCTTCTTTTAATAGCATCCTGACCAATTCAACATCATCTGAGTCCAGAGCTCTGTATATTCTCTTCACGTGTTTATCATGAAACCTGTTGCTTCCTGGCACTTGCAAACCAAGCTTTGTACGGGAATCAGTAATTTGTTTCACAATTTGACAAGGCAGTGCTTTTTCAAGGGTGATTGTATCAATATCTGATTTGACAATAATATCCATGCAACTGGACATTAATGCCTCACACCTTATACCACACGTGTTTGCAACTGAAAAAACCATCAATACATCATCTGCAGCAGCCTTTTTTAGAATATCTAAAAGCTGCCTCTGCACCATCACAGAAAGATACATTAATGCCTAAGAAAACCAATATCAAGTATTTGAGGCCAACAAATAAGGGTCCGTACCCTGTACTCCAGCTTTTGAATTTCAAAAGGATTTGCACAAGACAACAACTTTCACTGCATTTACTTTGTTCGAAGAACTCTGTGGCATGAGTCAAGTTTCCATACTATTACTATTAGTTTTGTGACTGATACATCAGTCCACAAAAAAATGTTGATAGAGGATGGCACAAGCTAACTTTGACCTCCACTTTGAATGGCTTTAGCTATGGAGACATCCATTGATGCATCATTTCCATTAGATTATGGGTTCATGGACATAGTCGATTTGAAGAGGACAACATGGACCAACCAAAGATTCGGACACTTAAATTTTTTCAAATTAGTACTTCAAGATGGAAGCCATGGAATTCCCAGGCCAGCAAAGACAATCCGTGGAGATCGGCACAACGTGTTTTGGTGTTTTAAGGCCATGGGTTCCCAACCCCAATCCCACCACACCGCCCCATGCCCCTTTACAGAAAGGTTGGCGAGGCAACTGACTTAGGCAACAGGCTGCCCAAGCCTACAAGGTAAAATAGCCCAAGCCTCTTTTCACTTTCCACCTTTTGGATCATGAACTAAGATAGTAACTCAGATTCTCAAATTCAATAATCTAGGTTCTTGAGTAGAGGACCTTTAAAACCTCACTTTTGTATACACTATCTCACAGAAACTTAGGGATTTTGGAATAAAAATGGAACAGGTACATAAAAAAAACAAATATAAGCATTGTGGAGAAAATATGTGATTGTGGGTTATATCATTTGAATTGTGTTCAACCCAAGTCCCCCCAAACTCTAAAGAGGATACCTAGAGCTCTAGCTCAGGTCGAATACAAGGTTCAAGGAGAGCATCATTGAACCTCAAGTTGATGAAGAGAACCTCTAGACATGAACTGAAGACCTAAAGACCTCAAACTCTAATGGCATAGCTTCTGTAAGGAAAATAAGAAATCTTCAACTGAAAACCCCTAGTAGGCTATAAATAAAAGGAAAGAATCTAAGTCTAAATCTTAATTTATTAATTATATATGTACACTTGCATAGTTGCATGGCTATACATAGCCCAAGGGTACACATATATCTAAATAAAGTCAGATTACAAAGAGCGTCTTGTGCTATGTATAGCCATGCAACTATGCAAGTGTAGATATATATATCTACATGCCTAAATGTAGAAAACATTTGGGGAGACAAGTAGTCAAAATAGTAGACAAGATACTGAGGTAACCAAAATAGTCGAAGTCATAAAGTTACATGAAAATAATTTGAACACTAGAGGGAGACAGGCTTACTCAAGATGTAGCAGTCTGTGGGTCCTCAACAATGAACTTGTGGGTTACCATCTTAGGCCCGTTGCTACACCAAAAAGGGGCACATGTCGGTGTGGCAGTCCTGGGGAGTCCATGGCCTCAAGACACCTTCTGCCAATCTCTATAGTTTTGGGGCTGCATCCTTACCTCACAAACTTAGCCAGTCTGTGACTTCTCAAAAAAACACTTGTGGGTTACAATCTTAAGCCTATTGCTACACCAGAAAGGGACATGTGTGATATGTCGGTGTGGCAGTCCTGGGGAGTCCATGGCCTCAAGACACCTTCTGCCAATTTCTATGGTTTTGGGGCTGCAAGCTTGGGAGTTCCAACTCCCAAGACCTTAGTCCCAAGTACTGAATTGAAAATCTTAAAGTCTCCAAAGCTTTGGCCTGGGTTTGTGTAATTGTCTCTCTTGTTTTAGATTTGTCAATGAATGGGCTTGACCATGATCAAATGAAAATGCTATATCTGGACTCTACAGAGTTCTCAGCAACTAAGAAGTAAGAACATTACAATGGAGGTCAGGGTCGGTTTGGACCATCTTCTATCAGACGAGAGATGACAGTCTCATTTAGCATATATCTCTCGGATACTTAGATTCTCTAAATTATACCTAGCAAAAAAAATTGATACCTTTTTTACCTCATACTTGTAAATTGATATATAACTATAACTATCATTATTATATAAAACCGCAATACATTTCATATTGGCCTCTGAACCTTGATTTCTGGTTAGAAATGAACAATTAATAAAGAATCAATCCAGGTTATTTCAGAAGATAACGAGATATAAACCAAACATTATGTTGGACACATGGAGATCGATTAAAACAGAAAGAATGACAGAAATATTACTCCTACGTTTTGAGTGGGAAATGTAGGATCACATTTGAGTCTGGACAATAAAAAGAGACCAAATAAAAATTCAAAATTGCCCTTCTCTCCCAGCTCCGTCTGGCTCCATCTCTCTCTGCCTTTGTCTCTCTGTGTAGCGCTCTCCTCCACGCCACTGACTCCTTCACGCCTCCAGGCCGACCTCAGCGACGGAGATGACTGTTGTCTGTCTTCTTCTTTGTCGCGCCACCACTGCAGGTCTGCGCCGCCGTCTTCATCGCGCACCGCTGCCCGCCCATCTATTTCTTCTCTTTCTGTCTCGACGCAGGTGGCGAATTGAAGCCAGGAAAGCGGATGTGGTTGGAGCGATTTGAGATCGCGATTGGGTGCGGCGAATCCTAGGGTTTCAAGTGGAGTTCGTCTCGCCGCTCTCCCGCTGCCGCCGCTAGGGTTTCTGGTGGTGCGAGGGCTGGGGAGGGGGGGCTGCGAGACTGGGAAAGGCTGTTGGGGAAGCGGGTTGGGGCAATGGAGGCGTGGGAGCCGGGGAGGAGTGGGGGCAGGGTTAGGGGCAGGCTGGTGGGGCAGGGCCGGGGCTGGTGATTGGGCTGGGGCTGGGGACTGGTGGTAGCAGGGCCAGAGGGAAAAACAGAGGTAGGTGGAGGCAGGGGCTGAGGCGGAAAGTTGGGGGCAGATGGAAGGGGTGGGAGTTCTGGGGAAGACGTACAGTCGCCAGTGGCAGGTCATCGGGGCATTAGGTTACCGGAAAAATAGGTCACTGTCGGTGGTGGTCAGTGGGTGGTTGTGTAAGTGTCACTAGGACGGCGGTGTAATTGTGACTGGCAGGAGGCGGTAATCACTGGCGGCAGGGGCAGGTTACCGGAGGCGGTAATCACTGGCGGCGGGGGCAGGTTACCGGAGGCGGTAATCACTGGCGGCGGGGGCAGGTTACCGGAGGCGGCAGCGGTTCACCGGCAGTGACGGGTCACTGCAGCAGCATGTGACAAATGTCTTGTTAGTCACTTTTCTGGAGATTTTGAATATGGTCCTATTCTTGTCCTTGAGTTTCCTTTGCTATTATTTTTTAACAAAACCCCACACAGGAACACGTATAAATGCATTACGGAGATGACCAAATTGAACAGCATTTGAATGCCAAAATTGAAGCACATTGATTGATTGATAAAATATGGCAATACCTGAAACTTTGCAACCAGTTCTGATATCTCGAATGTAAAGGAAGCATATAAAAGCTCCACCATGAACTCCAAGGCCGGCCTACAAGCTTCATGTGAGCACTCAATGTCAACACAAATGCATACATCCTTTGGTGAAGCTCTAACTTTTCCACAATAAAGGTAAGCCAAAACAATCACCACTGCATCATAGCTCACCTCATACTCCTTCATCAACTCTTTCAAAACCAGTTTCACACTTTTATCTTTCCCACAAAATAGATTCCTAAAGAACGGACTTCTTGCAGATAATATACACCTGTGCACTGGAATTTCCTTCCCGCCTACTGCCACCAGCTTTGCGTCAGCGAAGAAGTCAAAGTCTGGGAAAGAAGAGGTCTCAAATATTGATTCTAGAGTTTCTGATAAGAGCTTGAGGGCGTTTACGTCCATCGGCGAGGGTTCAGGCAAAAAAGTTTCGATAGCTCCAGCTGCGCAGCCTATACTACTGCTCATACTAATATCATTCAAGTCGGAAAAGGCCAGTCATACATACCTTCTATATTACCATAAACGGCATAAACTGATAAACACACAGTACACACTGGTTGAATTTACTGTACCTACAAAAATATCGTATTTATATCAGGAAACAGAAAATTACACAAGAGAGAGCTGAAAAGCAGGGGCGAGGTTATGAACAGAATGACACTGAAAAAGCAGAGATTAAAATCTTGGTTAAAAACCTGCCAAGGAAAAAACACAGAATTGGGGAAATTACGCCGCAAAAGAACCAAGCCCTACACAGTGGCAGATCTAGCATTGGCATCCAGTGGGTGCCAAAATTTAATAGGTATAAAGTATCTCCTTAAATCAATCTTCATTACCTTTATTAAAAAAATAGTTTTAGTAACACACGATGCGTGATTCGTTAGTGCCAATAGCAATTACGTTATCTAAACCTAATGTTCTTTTTATTTAATACTAGTATAATACTACCTCCGTCCCATATTTATCTTCATAGTTCGGTTTACGATGCTTGACTGACGATAAAGCAACTCGATCCCTGTTCACACTCGGAATATTTTTAGTAAATAAAATTTACATATTCAGAAACTACATTAAAACCGCTACAAAGCCTGATCAAGAAAATTTAAGTTTGATAAAAATTTGATATATAAAGTAAAAGATTAAGAGTAATTTGAGTTGACCATGTGAATAGTAACTATGAAGATAATTTTGGGACGGAGGGAGTATTTGACAGTTCAGGGAAAAGCATCCTGTAACTAAACAGACAAACTGAGACAAAGATTATGTTGGAAAGAATCATGTTCCATTAACATAACTATGCACGTGAGTATTGGATTACTCAGATTCCTGATAGTTACAAAAAGGTGTCGTGAGAGATTACCCTTATTGGTTGATTAACATATACATGCCTGACCTATTCTGCCCCTGCTTAATCTTCCATGTGCAAAGCATAAACAACATTTACAGTAATGAACTTTGTGCAGAAAAGGAAGACGAAGTTGGAGGAGAAATGTTTAACAGATTATGTTGTTCTTCATTAGTGGTTTAATGTGATGTATAGATATGTTGAAAATAAGCGTTTGGAATATTAGGAACGTGAAAAACCTGGTTTTGAAAAGATTTATGCTTTGTTAAGTAAATTAGGTAAATGGATCAGTGAGGGGAGCTGAGGCTGCAAGATCAAGTACTTGTGATTGATTTTGACTGTTCAGGCGATTTCTGAATTTCTGGCACTGGAAGTTCTTGAAAAACTTAATTTTACCCTTCCATTATTGTATAGGACAATTTCCCTCAAATGAGTGATTGATTTTGACTGTTCAGGCGACTTGGGCATGTGTGTTTATAGGAAGAAGGTGAGCACATGTGTGTTTATAGGATGAAGATGAGCACATGTGTGTTTAAACTTTAAAATGAGCACCAAGACAGCTTTTTTAACAAAACAGTTGCAAAATTGATTTCCTACACATTCAAACTAATTATGAATTGCACAAAGAACTTTAACAAAAAGTCAGTACCTAGTTAAACTTGATTGAAAATACATTTTTCTCAACGCTGCCATTCATATTCGAGTAATCCGTGGTAGTGAATTAGTGATTTTTAAGATATACAAACGATCCTAAATGATCAGATTAAAAATAACAAATCACAATCAAATTGATGCTAATGGAATGATGCTCACATATTACATTGATAATAAATGCTATCATGGGATTGTGAGAATCCTAATATATAAAGTAATAAAGTTGAAACTTGAAAGCCTGAAACCAGAAACTATGTAAAGCCTTTCTGGAAATCCTAATAGAGGATTTATTATAAAGCTGAAATAAAAAGTGTAACAAAAGTAAAACATCTAAAAACCTACCTGAAATATGAAGAGAAGAAGAGGGGCGGACTGGCGAAGGGAAAGAGGCAAAGAGCAGAGCTGCAGACCAGCAGGTGCGGCCGTGCGTGGTGCGACGGGAGACGACCGGACGATCGGAGATTGGGGGTTGGGACGAATCGCGATTGTTCGGAATGGCCGATCAACGATGCCCGTCGCCAGACTGCGGTAGTTGCTTGGGACTTGAGGTCTTGGAGTCTATTTTGGGGCGTTTGTTTTTCAACGATGCCAATTCACTGGACACTGCATACGTCCGTTTGATGAACTATCCCTTGTGTCGTCATGGATGATCTCACCGGGCACCAACTTCTTAATAGCAGGCGCCCGCAATGAATGCAGTTTGGTCAAAAGCAGCAGTGTCATGATTGGAATGGCGATGGTGGACTTGATGATGGTGATCATTGATTCCTTTGATATTCGCGCACCGGACCCGGCCATGTCATCATGCGAGGAAGAAAATTGGCGCGTATGCAATCATTTCCTCTTGTTTTACCTGCTAACAAAAAAGTATTCCCACTCTACTTTTTGATCTATAAAACTTATCCCAATGTCAACCAACTACTATCCTACCCGTGCGATGCACGGGAGAATAAAATTTGCCTATTAAGAATAATTTTATATATTAACATAAATTTAATTTATGTCATGTAAACACACATTTTTGTCAAATATATTATGTGGATAAAATGTTTTACGCTTTCTATGGCCTTAATGAGTGCTTAATAATGAGTGCATGATAGTATTTTGTGGCCTAAAATTTCTTAGTCCCACTATCCCATCTCCATATTACAAATATTCATATGTACATAGTCCATATTAATATTCAAATATTAGTCGATCAAAATCTTATGATAGTCCTTGAGAGTGAGAATTTAATTGGTGTTATAGCTAGAAACTCTTCTAAGTTCTACTGAATTTCTCGAAATGTAATCAGGAAGCTAAGTGAACATTTTAGATGAAGATATATGAATGTCTCTCCTAACAACAGAAAGCGTGTAAATTAACTACACATGACATGGTACGTTAAAACTAATAATAATAATGATGATGATGATGATGATGATGATGATGATGATGGCCCATTTTATTTTGCATTACCCGCCCCGACCTGGCCCGTGCCTAGCCCTACTCTTAATCTCTTACTTTTTATATCAAAATTTTATGAAATTTGAATTATTTTTTGCAGATTTTGTAGCGGTTTTAATGTAGTTTCTGAATATCTAATTTTTTTTTCTAAAAATAATTTGAGTGCAGACAGGGATCTATTTGCTTTATCGTCGGTCAAACATCGTAAACCGAAAAGTATCTTATAATTCGGGACGGAGGGAGTATTTATCTCTAAAATAGGACTAATTACTGTCATTTTTTGGCAATATCAGAACTTAAACATGGCAGTATTAACTCTTAATTGGGGAATAATAACATGACAGTTCTATTTTGGAATTTTCAAACTTTTTTATTACTCCTATTTCGAGAATTTTCCCTTAATATCACCATACAATATTCATATTAATATTCATATTAATATTAATATTTCCTTTAATATTTGAATTCTATATTACTTAATGATATTAATCACTTGTTGAGTTGACAATGAAAGATTATGTTATAATGTAGATTGGGCAAATATTTTGGCCAAACATAAACTCTGATGGCTAGACAAATGAATATTACTCGTATTAAACTAAATAGAAATAGAGATGGAGACCATGTATATTTAGATTTTAGAAGTAGGAGTGGGTCGATGAAATTGAAATTACAAATAAAATCGACTAAACTTCAATTGCAAGCAAAAAAATCGAATCGCAACAAAATCAAATTCGAACTTAAAAAATCAAATTGAACCGTTTGAATCGAATCCGCCCTTATTTTGAAGTCACGTCGCAGAGCTTTCCTTAAATTCGTTGGGAGCTAAGTGATTATTGTATAAGTCCCATTTTATTTCTCCTACTTTATTTTTTTAAATGTCCCAAAATGTTACATTTCTTTTTTTAAAAGAAAGATGTGATCTATAACATTTTCACTTTATTATACTCAAATCTCAACTATAAATTTTAATTTTACAATCACTTTATTAATAATTATGTAAAACCAATAGGATGGAAGCAGTACAATACTCGCTAGTATATGAAACGGCAAAATCAGTCAAAACATTTAAACGGCAAAACAGTAATAATGGGGAAATTGTAATAAATGGAAAATGATTAAGTAAGGTTTGACTATCCATATATATGGTTCTCGAACATTTAAGTCTCTTGAATGCATTACCAAATTATGTAATTTAATTTAATAAAAGATGTTTAAAATAATAAAAAATAAATTAACATGAAAATGACACGTGTCAAATAATGGTTGTGAGCATGACACTTGTCAAAATTTTACTCCAATGTTACTTGCAAATGTTTAATACTCCCTCCGTCCCGAAAACAACTTCCCGGTTGGACTTTCACACACTTTTAGTAAATAAATTTGACTTTACTGTAGAATGCACTGTTTTGCACTGTTTAAACACTGTTTGGCACTGTTTAAACACTGTTTGGCACTGTTTAAACACTGTTTGACACTGTTTATCACTTTTTTGATGTAGATAATTTGCCAAATAAGGAAAGTATTGAAGTGTGAAGTTAATTTTGGGACATCCATTTAATGAAAGTGGGAAGTTGTTTTCGAGACAGAGGGAGTATATAGATATTTTTGATCTCTTACTTTTTGAATGATATTGAATTTTGTACTTAATTTTTAAAAATTTTAGATTTTCCACCTTATTTCCCCTAAAATGGCTTTGTCTTTCCACCTTATTCGAAAATTTTTCTTCACAAAATGTTGTAAGTGGGTGCAAAGTCTAAAAGTTTTAAGAATAGGGTGTAAAGTCCAATATCAACCAAAAGGTGGGGTGCAAACTCAAAATTTCCCTTAAATTTTTCAACGGTTAATATGTATTTATTCAAGCAATTTAGCAAATATTGCTATCCAGCATTATTTTAAAGTCTTCCTTTTATTATTATATACACATCGTTTTCTTTTCCAAATATTTTTTGTGAATAATTATAATTTTGAAAGTCAAATATTCTGATGTAAAAATAAATTAATAAATTAATTTTATAATTTTTGTTGTTGTTAGTTTAGACCGTTTTTTGAAAAAATAACTGTAAAAATGAAAAAAAAAACTAAAAAATGAAAAAATTATTTTAATCATAAATCTTAATTTTAACACTTAAATTTATTTAATAAAAAATTGAACATAAAAATCTTCATTTGATGATACTTCATTTAAAAGAAAATATATACAATATTAGTGTCATATAATAGATCATAAGAATTAGGCTAAAGTGTGAAATAGGCTCTCGAACTAACTTAAAAAGTGCAAATCACCCCTAATATAGGAGGCTCTGTCGGGACGCTGCTATTTGGGACGGTTCCAAGTGAATTTTTTTGCTGAATTTTTTTGAGAATCTTCTTTATTGAGTCTAGTTTACTCATACCAAATTTCAGCTAAAAATTCATTCGGGAAGGCAGTCAAATTAATTTTTGAAGATAACTGTGCAGTGAAACAACTCGGTAAATTTCAGAAAATCATTTGACTTTCTTTCCGGTTGAATATTTATCTGAAATTTGGTATGAGTAAACTAGACGTAATGAAGAAGATGCTAAAAAATCATCAAAAAATTCCACCGGAACCGCCCCAAACAGCGATGGCCGGACAAAGCCTCCTATATAAGGGGTGACTTGCACTTTTTAAGTTAGTTCGAGAGCCTATTTGACCCTTTAACCTAAAAATTAAAGTTTTTGATATACTTTTTATAAAAAATTAAAGCATAAATAAAAAGTTAAAATACATTAAAGAAAATTGGGATTTTAATATTCCAGGCCCCACAAACTTCAGAATTGTCATACGCGCATGACGGCACTGCTGCTGTTCCAAATTCCCACTCAACAAAGTGCCATAAACACACTTTGTCACCCAGAAATACATGTATTGCAACATATATTTGAGGGTGAAAACATCATATTTCGTGTGTCACCCTTCTCTTTGCGGGCAACCTAACTAAATAATATTCTTATTTTCAAATATTCTCATTATACACTCATTATTTTGAAAATGATAAATTATTCCTTTTTGCATTTATCCTTCATTCCATCACACTATTCCACTGTATTCTCGGCATACCCTCGATAATTTATATTTTCTTTAACTATTCATAATCTGCTTACTTTCAAAGTGGGAAAATCTTTTTGTTATAGAGGGAGTACTACGTCCATTTTGCTTTATCCATAGCTGGTGATCGACAAACTTTGAACAATGATTTTAATTATATATTTGTACATAATATTCCTTCCATCCCTTAAAACTTTGTCAATCTTTAAATTTTTCGGTCAACCAAGTTCAACTTTGACCAATAATATATTTTTATAATAAGTCATTTATAATATAAAAATGATATAAAATATTATTTGTTAAAAGTACTTTCATAAAAGTATGAAATTTATCACTTCCCAAATATTATACGCAGTACTAACCAAAATCATGATTTAAACTTTACCACAAAGTTTTAAGGTGGAGAGGCAGTATATATTATATAGGAGTAACTTTAATACTTTTATGAAAATATTAATAAGGAACATTTTAATATAATTTTCATATTCAACATGATTTTGTATTAAAAAAAATATCGTTAGTCAACGTTGATTATCATTGATCAAGAAAAGTTAATTAAGCAAATCTTTTAGGACGAATGGAGTATATTTGATCGGTGATCGTGATTATGTGATGAGAAAAAACGTCCTATGAGATAATGTGGACAAAACGTCATTTGAGGTGGTCCTCGGTAAAGTTTTTTAATGAAATTTCATAAGCATGTGTTTTCATGAAATGTATGCTAGTATTATGTTCATGAAATTTCAGCTCAAAATTTAATCGAGAAGTCAGTTGAATAATATACTGAAAAGCACTACATTTTAATCTTTAATTTTGTGGACATGATTTACACATAATGAAGAACATGGTCATAAACATTGATCAATAACTCTAATAGAAATCGCCTCAAATAGTGGCGGCCGGAAAGAGGTTTCGGGAGGCCGTGATTGAATAAATTACTGGATGTGTTGACACACATATGTTAACTTCTCTATGGGAACACACATATTAGGTGTATTTGGAAAATGTCGTTTTAGCTATAAAAAATATTGAGTTTACTCATTTTAGCGTTTTCAATTAGTGAAAACGTTGTTTGATAAAAAGTTGTTCGACCCCAACATTTTTGGACGGAATCTTTGAATGGAAACGTTGCAAATAGCAACGTTTTGGGTTAACATTTTGAAGTAGGGCATTTTGTACCCATTGCTACGGTCAAACAACTAAATTACCAAACATCTTTTACAACTCGTCAACTTATTTTGTTAGTCAAACCCGTTGACTGAAACCACTATTAACAACCCGCTAATAAACATATTCCACTTTCCGTTAACTGTTAAACGCTAAATTAAATGTCAAGCATATCCTTCTTTGCAAATAGCTTTAACATGATTAATTCTTTTACTCAATTATTACCAGAAGTTCTATAATGAGTAATATTATGGAAAATGCTTTATAATTATATCAATTTTATTGTGTTCATTTATATGTTAGTACAAACATTTGTTATGCTCATTTATAATATCTCATCATCGATCATTCGTAATACACGAAATAAATTTGCTATAAATTAACTCATTCATTCAAGTCTATTACCACTATATTCTCATCTAAAATTTTTATTGTGCTGGTTTACAAATTAATAGAAATGTTGATTTCTTTTAAATGATATACCCATTACATGTAATGAACACACAACAATTCAAATTAATAAAGTTAGCTATGTTTGTTGGTTGGACCCGGTTTTAGATAGTGTCACGTGTTTCATTTTTTATCAAAATAATTCATGTGTTTGAATTCCGCTATCACAACAGAGGCTTGACACCTGATACCGTTAGAAATCATTAGAGGAAGGCGATGAACAGTAACTCCGATTTTCAAAAGTGCCCGATAAATTAAAAGAAAAATACCGGAAGGTGCTCGTCAACAAGACGACCACTAGGTCATCTTTATTTTTTTTTGTTTCCAACCATCCTTGTCACCAGAAAGTCCATTTGAAAAGTGATATTGACGAATTCATTTTTAAAAAATAATTCAAAAAGATCAAAAAAATTCCAAAGGCAAAGGTGGTTTGGAGGTCATCTTGACGAAACATACTTTTTGGTATTTTTCTTTTATTTTTCCGGATACTTTTGGAAACCGGAGTTACTATTCACCATCATCCTCAAGCGTTTTTTAACGGTGTGACCCTCTTGTGATAACGGAATTCAAACACATGAACCACTCTGATAAAAAAATGAAACACATGACCCTATCTAAAAACGAGCACAATTACAAGTACGTTTTCTGTAATTTTCCCTTTTTTACAGGAAAAAACTTATATTAATATGAAATAATCCAAACAACCAGCAATATCCAGAATCCTTAATCTCCCTCTAACCCACAGTGACCAAAAGCCCACAGACCCCCTCACTCTTATATCAGACATTGAATAGTATACCCCGTCCGTATTTGTTGAGCCGATTATGCTGAAATTTATGAAATTATGACTGAAGTGGCTGCATTGGTTGATTCTGCTAATTTAAGGAAAAAAATATTTTTAAAATATATTTTATTAATAAAATAGCTAAATAGCTAAAATAGTATTTTAAGAAAAAATTATATGTATTATATATATTATTTTAAGAAAAAATTATATGTAAAATAACTAAAATGACCATCTACAGTAACTTTAACTAATACAACCAGAAAAGTAACTTCAACCTTACCTTTTCTTATTATTAAACATCCTAAAAATTACGTGTTTGGTAAAAAAATTGACTGACAGACAGAAAAACACTAAAAAAGTGTTCAAATGGTCACTTCATTTAGGATGTTTTTTACCTGGACTGTAATCTATTCCTGACTAGAATAGACTAGACCAAACGAAACCAGATTTGGATAGATATAAAAATAAAAAAAACAGATCATGCCGGCCAGAGTCTCCCAACCAGCAAATTAGCAAAACATCCTTGCACAGAAATGTAACGATACATCTTGACCCAGCAGTGCAAAATTGTTTTACGGTTATCAACTCGCAGACGGTACGCGAAGGTTATCAAGCGGAGAGGACCTGCACGTTTCTTCCCTTCTCATTTTATTCTGCGTCACTATCTTCCCCAGTTCCCCTTCTCATCTTCTTCTGCCACAACGAAGAGGTATTCGTCCTTCTTATACCTCCATTTCTAATTCCATCTATTTTGTGTTTTCTGAAATTGTTAATTCCTTTGTTCGTATTTCAAGCTCTATCTGTACAGTCCTACTAAACATTTGGACTTCTATCCCGGTTCAATTTGCTAGCAACTTCAGTAAAAAATTAATTTTCATAGTCAAGGATTTCGTGAATGTCCACTACATGTTCGACAAAATGCAACCACTTTCTAATGTTTAACAGGAACATACGCGTATTGTTTCATATATGTTGTTAAAACAGAGGATTGCAGTTCTGGTTTAGCTACACGAAACGAAAGAAAAAAACTAACTAAAAAGTAACGAAACAACTCATCCTACAGACCACATTTACTGAGATTTCAATTAGAATACTTTATTTCATTCAGATGACATACAATGGATGACCTGTTTCAAGCGATAAAACTGTATAAGTCTAGGATCACAAGTTTTATAATATAACAAGTTCTGGCGGGAAATAAGTTTCTTTTAGGAAGTAAACTTAAAATTGTTCCTTTATTTATTCAAATGGTCTCAAATAATTATTCACAGAAATGCCCAAACGTTTAGAAAAGTACTCTCTGAATTATCTATATCAAAGCATATCTAAATTCAATTTCCATAGTTTTTACTCAAAAAGGGGTGTTAAATGCCTTAGTTGTATACTGTCAAAGGCTTAGTTCTTGGTATGTACCCAATCGTTGGTTGGACTTCTCTTGAGTTAAAGTTAGACAAATTCTACTTTGTCATGAGATCTACTGTTTTGTAATAACTAATAATGCTTCAGGCAGTCATATTAAGTCACAATATTGCATTGCTTATTTTCTTTTCTTGTGCACAATATTGTGTAATGACACTAGCTGAAGCATATTTACGGGACTAATGATGGATGTTAAAAGTCATCGGTAGTTGAATCAGTAGGGTCCTTAGCAGCTGCTGAGAGTTGGAGTTTTTAAGGGTTGTAGGGAAGTTGCAGAAACTCAGAAAACTTCCACCTGCATTTTAAAACCATTTAAAACTAGAATGAATTTTAATTTAGAAGCTTGATTACAAAAAAAAATGCTATGCTTGGTCACTTCTACTTGGAGAGCAAAGCGGAGGAAGAGTATATGTTAGAGAGATTGATTTGTTTTTGTTTGTTTCCCTTTACTCTATTTGTTATTTTTTAACTCTGATGTAATGTGACGATTCTTGTTAGCTGACCGTAAATTGTTGTTGTAGTTGTGCCCTCTTTGAACCTGTGGTATTATTGTTGGAGAAAATTATTTGAAGTATGACTAAAAGAAAAAATGGTGTTTTGGATGTATGTTAAGTGTTTTGATGCTACTTACTTATTCTCTCTTCAACTTTACTATTACGGTGGCATATTTAACTTTATTAGTCATGTATTAGGAATCTATGAATGTTTGGTCATGTTTAGACTTTAGATAAATTTCCTATTTTGTTGGGAATGAGTGAAAACAAATTATTGTTTGAAAAATTCCTCAATTGAAGTCATTTTAATTTATCAAAAGCACGAAAGACTGAAAGAGTAAATAACTTAGTCTGCCACATAGTATAAAAACATGATGAACATGGTATTTTACATTCTAGTTTATTGGGACTGAATTCAATATAATAACATGATGAACATATAATAACTATTGCTATTTAGTATGTTTAGCTTAATACCTAACTTATTCTTGGACATTTTTGTATGATTATCATTGACAACAAGATATGACATGTGAATAGAACTATCTATGACAAGCCACCATGCTCTTCTTTTAAAAGAATGGTCTGCTCATAACACATTGTTTACTATCTTTACCTCTTTCAGATTTTGACATTGTTTACACATTGTTAGAACTATCTTTGCCATATTTAACTTTAAGATTTTCCCATCTTTCTTTTAAGTCCGTCCCACTAAGATTGTACCCTACCAAATTGGGTAAATTTTGTGATTTTAAACCACTTGTACTTTATTCCTTCTTTATCACTTAAATATCAACCCCATAAACCAATTTTTCTTAATAACCGCACCTCCTCCTCATGTCCCAATGTTAGTAGGACGGAGTCACGGAGGTAGTAATAATAATTAATAAACAAAGAAAAGGAACAAAGTATGATAAGCTAACAGAAATAGAAGATGTGAATTACCTATAGGCTATAGCTGAAGACGACGAAGGAGCTTGTAGTTTGAGTCTTCCTTTCAGTTTTGAGCATTTGTAGGAGTTAAAACTGAAGACAACAAAATTCCATAACTGAACCATAAGTTTTTAATATAGGTTTTTTACTTTGAAGTTTCAGAAGCACAGGTTTTCAGTTTTCACGGGAGCTGCGTTTCAAGGTTTTTGAAAATTACCTACACAGGCTTGCTAGTTTTTAGTAGGAACGGTTCTGAAATCTGAATCAAGAAAACTCCATGCGGTTCATATTTCCGTGCATTATAGAAGTTTTGAGATACTTTCTTTCTTGAATTCTGATTATTCTTTCTCCCGAATTTATTTATGTATTCTATTTTTGGACTAGTAGAGTAACAAATAATGGGGTTTTGCAAAGCTGAAGTGAATTTGAGGAGATTACTTGAAACTGCACCACAACAGAAAAATCAAGCAAAGCTCATACATGTATGTTTAATTGAACTCTTTCATGTTTAGTGATAGTGTCTTTTACATCTACTGATGATTAATTAATTATTAACTAAATGATTAGCTTTATTGCCTCTTTTTTGACAATTCTTTGAATTTTATTTTATCATGTGTGGTAGTTCCGTTTTCCATCATTTGCAATGAAGCCAAAAATTCACTATTTTTTGGCTTGAGAATATGATGGAACAAAGCAAAATGACTCACTAAACTGTTTGCGCTTTTTTGTTATGAAACAGCAGTCAGTCCATGCAATTTTGGATATGATTTTCACTATGGGTCATCCGGAAACAGTCTCTCTGTGCTTTAGTACAGGGGTAAGACTGTAAGAGTGCGTACATCCGATCCCCCTTACCCCACCGTAGGTGGGAGCCTTTGCGGCACTGGGGTAAATGAAAATGAAAATGAGATGTGTGGTAGTTCCGTAGTTCTGAAGTTATGTTGAAATTTTGTGATAAAAGTTGCTTAGTTTTAGTGACAGTTGTTTTTGATTTATGCATGTGCACAATTGCACATTGCATATTATCTGTGGAGTTCCTCTCTGACATTTATACAAGAGTTTCTATGGCATGTGAACATGATTATGATGCAATTTTTTTTTTATCCTCTGGAATGGTTGTTCTGATCTTGCGCAGGAAATGATTTGTACATTACTCCATTTGTTTCTTGAAGCATTTTGAGAACATTTGTCTGTTTTCCTATGTTTGGCGCATCATAAAACCCGTCTAACTGAAAACTTTTTTTCCAAGTCAAAGGAAAACTGACTCTTTTATAGAAAAATGTTTTTCCTTTTTGAAGGATTATTTATTTATTCATGAAAAATTATATACTTTTAAAAAGTCTCTAGTATAAAAATTAAAATTTGTAGAGAATGGTTTTTTTCTGAAATGTTTTTTTTTTCCAACTGAATAATGTCATCATTATCATTAACCCAGTGCCGCAAAGGCTCCCTCCTACAGTGGGGTAAGAGGGGGGGGGGGGGTCGGATGTACGCAGTCTTACACATGTACTGATGTACTATAACATACTTCATAGTATAATAGTACAATATCAAGCTATTTTTCAAAAATCAAATCTGTATAGTGTTTAGTTTATAAGAAGAAATATATTCTTTATACGTGTTTGTTAATACATTATAGAAAATGCACATCTAAAAAACAAAGATGAACATCGTTTCTGGAATAAACGAGGCATTAATAATTTAGGAAGTCTAATAATACATCTTGGGGTATAATTAGAGTAGCAATATCCATATAATCAACAACACGAGAATTTAAGTTGTGACTCTATCCCCTCAAATTAGCATTACTCTATTTTTCCAATTAAAAGATCTAACAGTAGCCATAGTACACTTGAGGAAACACCATGCTCACTGAATCAATCGAGCATCTCTGTAAGTTGCACCGGCCCAATTACAGCCTTGCAAAATCTGAATATGTATCACTTGAAAGGACAGACATAGTAAGGTTCATATCTTGAGATTATTGAATGAATATTAGAAAATGAGTTCCTAGATTTCTTTGAATTCTTCAATACTTGAAGATGTATAGTCTATTTACAACTCTAGTATTGCTTTTGTGACAGTGTGGTGCTTGTAAATAGTCTTGAAAAGATTGTCGTAGTTCTGTAGTACTGTTGAGTGTTGAATAGATGTAAATAGTCTTGACTCTTGACTGACGATTATTCGAATGACTGAACTAGGCAGCTTCTCTATTTTCCGTTTTGATTTTTGATGGCCGATTATCAAAAGTCAGAACTATCAATCAAAAACCTGAATTTCATTGGGTGGATATTAATCTTTTTTAGCCAACCCCAAAATCTTTTGGGAATAAGGATTGGATGTTGTTGTTGTATTGATGATTAGTTTACTCATGTATTACAGCCTCTAAGAATCTAATAATTGGCTAGCCATGCTTAGTTCACGGCTGCAGCAGAAAAATTGCAATTCATGTTCAGAACATCCATCCTATCATTGTATATAATGTCTTTAAATTTATTCTTGTTAGTTACTCAATATTTTGTAGTATGTTGCCACATTGCGGGAACTGTTGGAGCAGTTGGCCGAAGAAAGGACTCCAGAAGGACTGCCTAGGTTTGTATGCCTACAACTCTCTTCATTCCAATATTATCTCGAGAATAGCTTATGGCACAAGCTTAAGAAAATGAAACAGTCGGCTGATATTTATTTAGGAAGGATAGAGACGGTATATTTCCATCATTTGCAATGGAGCCAAAGACTCACTATTTATCGGCTTGATTTTCACTATGGGTCATCCGGAAACAGTCTCTCTGTGCTTTAGTACAGGGGTAAGACTGCGTACATCCGACCCCCCTTACCCCACCGTAGGCGGAAGCCTTTGCGGCACTAGGGTAATGATGATGGTGATGAGCGACGATATGAACCATTGGATTCTCTCCTACAAATATTACTCCCTCCGTTCCATTTTACTTGTCTTACTTTTCTTTTTGGGTTGTCCCAAAATAAGTGTCACCTTTCCCTTTTTGGAAAGAAATATGTGGTTCACAACATTTCACTTTACTATACTCAAATCTCAACCACAATTTTTACCTTTTCAAAATTGTGCCAAAACCAAAGGAGACACATAAAATGGGATGGAGGTAGTATGTTGCGACTTGTGACGGATGAAAAAAATTAAAGATAAATTCAAGACATAGTGAGTACTATTTTTTCAGTTTAAAACCTGTGATGGGCTTTTATTTTTTAAATTAATTTTTGACTTCATCAAAATGCTGCAAATCGAAATGGGGAGCACTAATTTGGACTAGAGGTAGTACTCTTTACACTATCGTTAGGCTCTTTGTAGTTACTATATTCTATCATTCAATATGACCAATTTGAGGTACAATTGTGTCACCAGAAAGTCAACTAAAATGATAATAGTCCTCCTACATGCTTTATTCAGTCATAAGTTCATAACTTACATGCTTTTGTAGGATCACCAAGGCAAAGGTGACTGAATATGCTGAAAAAATTGAAGCTGTTGCAGCTAAAGTTGCTGTACCTGTGGTGGGTGTACTTGCCTGTTCTTAATATCTAAAACATGTCTGGTTAAATCTCAAATTCCATCAAAAATCATTTTGCTTTTAATTTTGTTCTTTAGATTGCCTTGACCTTTTCTATTCGGGGTACTCTATTGTCATTCAACAGGAGTCTCAGGAGCCAGTGGTTGACAAATTTGAGGTTGAAACTCATAAAACAGAGGGGGAAAGTATACACTCTCCTACTGGAGGACTGAGAAGAAGATTTGTGTTTGTGAATATGAATATATATATATATATTTACAGTTTTTTTTTTATGTTTTTCTGTGAGTTGATATGAGTTATAATGTTGAAAGTGGAATATAGGCCCCCATTGAATACTATGGAAACATCTCATGACGCGGTGGATGCGGACCGATCTACCCAGGTCAAACTTGATGATGCTGCGTTGACACACATTGATAAGCATAGGTATATTTTTACCGGCCAGTCCCTTGCTGGTTCTCTTCTTTGTGCTTGGAATTTTTTAAATTTAGCGAAGAGCCAGTAATGTGAACATTTGCTATATCATTGCCGACGGATTTTCAATGGATTAAATCTGCCAGGAAGTTTGTGGGAAAGTTTGAGCAATTTTTGTTGTTAATCACACGGGTTTATATCAGATTGACTTTTCCAACCAAAGATAAAGCAATTGAAAAGTTTGTCTGGGAAAAAAAACGTAACAGATCCTAAATCCATGAGAAATTTCAAAAGATATATGAGTTATTCTGCTTTGGAAGATTTCAAAACATAAATCCTAAATCCATAAGAAATTTCAAAACATAAAAAAAAAACCAAATATATGTCTGCTCTGGAAGTTTTGAGAAAAGGGTTATTCTTTTGGTGATTCTTATTTTTTTTCTTAGGAATAGTATAATGAAAAATAAAGAAAAATGGCTCACCAAACTGTCTGCTCTTCTTTGTTATGAAGCAGCAGTCAGTCCATGCAATTTTGGACGCGATTTTCATTATGGGTCATCCAGAAACAGTTTCTCTGTGCTTTAGTACAGGGGTAAGACTGCGTACATCCGACCCCCCCTTACCCCACCGTAGGTGGGAGCCTTTGCGGCACTGGGTAAATGATGATTGATTGATGATTAAATAGTATAATGCAAATATGTAGGCATTTTATTCTAGTTTGCTGTTTACAGCATATTGTTGGTCATGTATGTACGAGTAAAGCCCTAACTTTCAGGAAACTTCAGGAGACCTTGACAGATGAAATGGTTGTCTTGGCACGACAACTCAAAGAGAGTAGTCTCATGATGAACCAATCAATTAAAAATACAGAAAAGGTCAGCTTTCTTGCGTCATGATGTGGTGTTTAAACATTATATCTTTAATTTATATCATATCAAATTTAGCATTTTTTATTATTGCAAACTGATTTTATTTTGGTGATGTCATGATGTGTATGTTGACTTTCCAATATAAATATCTTGTAATGGGACATGATCATAACAACTTCTTGTGATATTTCCTATGATATATCGTCTTGAAATTCCACCTCATTATCTTGACATAACAACTTCTTGTGGAGGAGATTAAGGCTTTGTCTGAATAGGGTAAACTTAAATTCAATAAAATATGGGTCAACCTAGGTGATAGGTGAACCAAGTGTAAATACTAAGATGTTGTTTGGATAGTTATCAGGTTACTTTGGCTTTATCAAATAAAGTGGTGTTTGAATGGAGACAAATTTAAGCAGGCTAAACAAAAGTACCTGTAAAGAGAACTTTAACCTTAGATTTGGAGAATCTCCAGAATTGGGTCATTTGAGTTCCTCCACAGTGAAACTAAGCTCTTTGCAACCAAATGAGGTGAGACCATAATTGAACTTCGAAGAACATAGAATTAGGAAATTGTAGTCTCATTTATTGTTGTAGAACATTGAATTTAGCATTCCAATGGCATAGTGAGGGATTCAACTAATGATCAAATTTACAACTAGATGTCATTTTTATTCAACACTGTTTTTAGATATTTTGGTCAATAAGATGACTCCAAAAATTTTAAATTATCTATTTATAAAGATTTATCATTTTACTTTAGATTTAAACTGACATAAATAGGGTCTCAAATGGCTGAATGAATAGTTTGATATGACTAGATATTTCGGTCAAATAAGGACGATTCACCTCGAAAAGCAGTAAACAACGGTACATAAGGCAATGGTGACTTATCAAATTCTTTTGCCTTTATTTTTGCTTAGTCCGTCCATATCTATTTTGTCTTGACTTCAAAAACGTTTGGAATTCTTTGGGTGGTGCAGATACTTGATTCAACAGAGAAAGCGGTTGAGCGTAGCTTGGCGAGTACAGGGAATGCTAATGTTCGTGCCATGAAAGTGTACTCGCAGAGTTTCAAGACCACATGCTTCACATGGCTTATGATCTTTGTTATGACCTGCATCTTTGTTATGGTCGTGCTTCTCATACGCATCACTTAATTGCCAAAAAAAACCCTCTTTACTTTCAACGCCTGACACCGTGTTAACACATGGAAGACTCTAAAATGGATCTGCTTATATCATGTGATGTACTACAGTTGGACTGCTGGTTGGCATTGTTAATTTGAGGGTGTTTGACATTAATTCTTATTTTGATTTTCTTTCCGAATAGAATATGATTTAGAAATTTTCGGTGTATGGAAAATGTCTTCTTTGTGTTTGACATTTCTTCTATAGTACTACGTATGAATTCGTCCTTGTGTGAACTGACAAAAAGGTTATAATAATGTGTAGCATTGTTGTTGTAATAAGAAAGAATTGAATACGAATCTCTGGTTGTCTTTTGTTGTATGTGCCTTTTGAAGCATTTCCAGTTTTCTCGTCACGACTCACAAAACATTGAACCCATAAAAAATCAACAGTGAAGTCAACTAAATTTGGTTGAACAGCAAGCGGTGGACATTTTTTTGGCTCAAGTTTAGCTTTGGAAATTGATAGTACTTAGGTCTCGTTCTCGGGTATGTTCTGAATCAGGAGTCAGGACCAGTCGTTTCTTGGGACTGAACTAGGGGTGGACTCGGGCCGGGCCAACCGGCCCGGAACCGGACCGGCCCGCTACTGTGCGGGCCCGGACCGGCCCGGTCAACCGGTTGGTGCACCGGTTCGGGCCACCCGGCCCGGTGGGATGGCGGTTCGGGCTCGGGCCCTGATTTTGGTGAACCGGCCCGGCCGGTTCGGGCCCGGTCCGGGCCGGATTTAATTTTTTTTTTTTTATTTTTTTGAAATTTTTTTAAGTTTTGGGTTGGATTAGGTATTTTGGGCCATTTGAGGTGGTTTGGGGTGGTTTGGGGTTGAGGGGGAGGGGTAGGGGGTTAAAAAGGAGAACCAAAAAAAAAAAAAAAAATAGACCGGTTGGCCCGGCCCGGCCCGGTTTGGCCCGGAACCGGAACCGGAACCGCCCACCGGCGGTTCGGGCCCGGGCCCTAGTTTTCTGGCCCGAGGCCCGGCCGGGCCCAGGCCCGAACCGGGCCCGAACCGGCCCGAGTCCACCCCTAGACTGAACGGGGACCTGACGCCTAGGTTTGATAAGCAGGTAGTGGTCTCAAATGCTATTTGTTGGGACCCAGACCGATCCCTCTCGATTTCATGGCTCATGGTTGATAGTTGATGCTTCTGTTCATGGAAGGGTTGGGGTATTTTCTATAAATCTCTCATTTTTCTTTCACCCTTAAATTTTCAAATTTTCGTGTTTTTTTTGTTATTGTACATATTTGAAGGTGCACTATAGTATTGTCTCCATCCCATTTTAACACAATTACTAATAAATTGGTTTGAAAAATATTTGTTATTGAAGAGTAAAAGTTGTGTTGAGATTTATCATACGAAACAAAATATCTTGCAATGATGCAATAAAGAAAGTAAAATGTACTCCCCAAAAGGTGATGAAGGGAATATTCTATTTACTTAGCTTCGCTTACAAAAAGATAAGTAACACAAGAATTAGCAATAGGTGAAATGGAATATTTGTTGGCTTGTTGCCAAGGTTTAATATTTCTTTGAAGGTCATCATTCACTAATTTCACTTTTTGAAAATGTAATCCCCTCCATTAAAAAAAAGTAATCCCTTATGAGTGGTGACCTCATATCCGCTTTCGTATGCACATACGTTAAATTAAGTGCCCAGTTTTGTGAGAATTAACGGGAAAGGTGGTATCAATATAAATAAGGAAACAAATATTCCTAAATATATTCTATTACACCCCCTCAAACTGTGCGGGAGATACAACGCACAAGTCATCTTTTAAAAATGAAATTGCTAACAAGAAAGACTTTTAGTAAAAATATCAGCTAGCTGTAACTGTGTAGGAACATATTTAACTATGAAATCTCCATGCGCAACACGTTCCTTGACAAAGTGAAAATCAATCTAAATATGCTTGCTACGAGCATGCTGAACAGGATTAGCAGTCAAGTATGAAGCAGAGATGTCGTCACAAAATAATTTGACAGGAGTCAGGAGCCTTGACAGGAAAACCAAGCTCAAATAAAATGGAATGAATATGCAAGGTATCATGTACTGTGTAAGAAACAACTCTGTATTCTGCCTCTGTAGAAGACTTGGACACGGTAGGTTGTTTCTTGGATTTCCAAGAGACGAGGTTGGCCCTATAAAGATAGCAAATCCAGTTGTGGAACGGGATGAATCTGGACAACCAGCCCAATCAACATCAGAATAGACAATGATACAAGTCGCCTGTGTGGTAGGACTCAACCATAAACCATGGTCCAAAGTCCCATGCAAATACCTGAAAATTCTCTTGACTGCAAATAGATGAGTAATACGAGGGGCATGCATAAACTGAGACACTAAATGTACAACTTATGTAATATCAGGTCGTGTCAAAGTTAAATATTGTAACACACCAACCATACTACGATACTCAGTGGCATCTGCAAGAAGCTCGCCATCAGTGAGAGATAGAGAAGTGTGGGTAGTAGCAAGAGGTGTACGAACAGGCTTAACCGTATGCATGTGAAAACAAGAGAGAAGATCACACACATATTTTTGTTAAGATAAAAACAGTCCTTTGTTAGAACGTTTTGCCTGGACTCCAAGAAAGTAATGAAGGTCACCAAGATCCCTCATAGCAAAGTGTTGAGCAACAAAATGGATGTGGGAAGAGACAAGAGAAGGCGAATTGCCAGTAATAGTAATGTCATCCACATATAATAATAAATAAATGACACAATTATTTTGACGGTATATAAATAAAGAATTGTCCGACTTACTGTATGTAAAATGATAAGACAATAAGAAACTGCTGAAACGATGGAACCATGCCCACGGGGCCTGCTTAAGCCCGTATAGGGCTTTTCGCAGTCCACATAAATGACTAGGAAACAAAGGATGGGTAAAACCCCGTGTTTGACGCATATAAACCTCTTCAGTGAGATCACCATGCAACAAGGCATTTTTGACATCCAGTTGACGAATAACCCACCCAAAAGAAATATCTAAAGAAAGTACAACACGAACAGTGGGGGTTTAATAACTGGACTGAAAGTCTCTGAGAAATCTACACCAGCCTGCTGACTAAACCCTTGTGCAACTAAACGAGCTTTATGACGCTCAATAGATCCATCAGAATTATATTTTGTCTTATAAATCCACTTAGAGCCCACAACATTTTTAGTGTTATCAAACGGGACTAATTCCCAAGTATTATTAGAAAAAAGAGAATTAAATCCTCTGCCATCGCCTCACGCCATTTAAGATGTTTATTTGCCTCTGAAAAACAAGTGGGATCTGCTGATAAGGCAACCGTATTTAAATTAAAAATAGTTTTTGGTTTAAAAATGCTTGACTTAGCCTGGGTTTGCATGGGGTGAAACTTATGTGTGGAAGCCGGAAGGGAGGACGGCGAAGTAGTAGCAGACTGAGAGTGTTCCGGGCTGTCATCAGGGGGGTTTGCAACGGACTGGTCGTGCGTAGGGGTTGAGGTCGCGGAAAATTGGGGCGAGGGCAGGTGTGGTGACGAGGTCATGGCTGGTGGCGGGGAGTAAGTGGATGAATGTAGGTCTGGAGATGTTTGGTTTGGAGGTGTTTGGTCTGGATTACAGGATGGAGTGTGCGGTGTGGAGGCCTGGGTGGGTATGGTGTGGATGGGTGTTGTTGGCAGATTACAGGATGGAGTAGTCTGCATGGGAAAAGGCAGCTGAGTACTAGGTGTGGGAAAAGTGCATGTGAGGATTCAGCTAAGACAGGCTGGTTAAGAGGAAAGTCAGATAAATAAAGATGAGATAGTTGTAGTATTAATTAAAACACAAGGGGGTTTGACGCATTTTTTAAATCACAGGGGGCTAATGCGCCGAATTTCCAAATCACAGGGGGATTTGGTGCATTAAACCCCGACACAAGATATCAATCTTCTCTCAGAAAAGAACAGTTTATGCGTCCCCCAAAGACACCGACTGCAACAAATTTTAGTGAAGGAAAAAGATGGTAGATTATATCGAGGATTTTCGGATGATTAAAAATGCGGGCAGGAAGGTGTATAATAAACATCTTTAAGCAATATATGCGGGCGGCAAATCAAGATACGAACCCAAAACCCGCCCGGCCCGGCCGGGAAGTGGTATGCGCGTGAAATATAATCTCATGCTCACCCGCATGCATGTCTTCCCTCGTTACAAAACAATTGGGTACCCCTGAGATCCAAGTATCCAACCCGATATTTGGCTTATTCAAAAATTGGGAGTTCGTCTATGATTTCTTCCATTCCAATAAAATTGAAGACGTGTTTGTATATGGTTTAACTTGAATACAACCCGTGTAATGTAAAATTGGTAAGCAGGTGGATTGTCTGGGAGATCCCTCTTGGTTCATAAACGACGGACAAATATCATGTTTTTAGCAGAGCATGTATGAAAGTTAAAAATAAATAAATAATTACAAAAGTAATCTAGACATTCTAGAGAAATATCCAATAGTGAAGGTGTACATCTCCAAGTTACGAATATGTTTCCTAAGAAGATGAACGGCCTTGGCAGTTCGCAGAGCTCTATTTTATTCATCGATGGAGAACTCGTTTTGCAGAGATGGAGAAAAGAAACTATTATTAGCTAGGGTTAAAAGAGAGAAATTAGTCTCTTCCGTGTGTCTGAAGTGTTGTCTGCAGCCGAAAGAGTGCCTTTTTCTTGCTGAACGAATAAGTCGACATTTCACTGAGCCAGGGGTGGAGACAGGGAGGGGCTGGAGGGGGCCACGGCCCCTGCAAGAAAAAAATTCTTAAGTATATATTATGTATAAATACTTTTAATCTATAGAAAATATGTTGATATTTTAAACTTTGGCCCCTGCAATGTAAAATTTTTAAAGACCGGCCCCTTCAACCATAGATTTCTGGCTCCGCCACTGCACTGAGCGAATAAGTCATCTATTTGATTCAGTTCTAAGTAAACACAACTTTATGAATGAATGGTTAAGTCATCAACTCCATTAAGTCCATTAAGTCCTAAGTAAACACCCCCTAACTTTGCTTAATACGGAGTATTTTGGTGGGTAAATAACTTAGACAAAACTTATTATAGAGAGAACTTGGAGAATAATTTTTCATTTATATCCAAATGATTTTAACAAGTGATATATGCATGGGCGGAGTTAGGGGTGGGCCAACCTAGGCAATGGCCCATCCCAAATTTTAAAAATGGCTTAATTTTTAAGGTAAAAAATTTCGTGTAATTTTTTTTTCTAAAAATATTCTTTGTACTGGTCCCAGTGCCCTGGCTCCGCCTCTGGATATATAGAAATTTTCATTTCACCGGGTACAATAGTTTAGGACTTGGTCCTACTATAAATGAGATGCAAGTCTCTTATATACTTAAGTTCAAAAGTGATAAAAATATGGAAAAATTGAAAATAATAATCCCAACTATTGTCGGTCCGCTGAAAATAATCCCAACTATTGATTATTTTTGTATAATCCCAACTAGGGAAAACTGTCAAATAGGTCCTCGAACTTTCATAAAAACGTCAATTAAGTCCTTCTATAGGAGGTTTTGTCTGGCCGTCACGATTTGGGGAAGTTCCCGGTGGAATTTTTTGATGAAATTTTTTGAGCATCTTATTCACCAAGTCTAGTTTAGTCATACCAAATTTCAGCTAAAAATTCAATCGGGAACACATTCAAATTAATTCTTGAAGATAACTGCGCATTTTTGCGTTCTCGAATTAATTTGAATGCGCTCCTGATAAAATTTTTAGCTAAAATTTTGGTATGAGTAAACTAGGCTTGATGAATAAGATGCTCAAAAAATTTCATCAAAAAATTCCACCGGGAACCGCCCCAAATCGCGACGACCGGACAAAGTCTCCTATAGAAGGACTTAATTGACTTTTTTATGAAAGTTCGAGGACCTATTTGACAATTTTCCCTCCCAACTATATAGACTATCCGCCAATAATGGTCCATGACCATATATTACCTCTATAAAAAGTGAATTCTAAATAGAAATTAAGCGTAAAAATTAAAAGTTGAGATTATTTAGAGGGATTACTTGTTATATCTCACTCCATCCACTTTAGAAACTACAAGAATTTATTCATAGGGACCATTATTGGCGGAAGGTCCCTAAAGTAGGGATTATTCTATAATAATCAATAATTGGGATTATTATGAGCGGACCGCCAATAGTTGGGATTATTAATATCAATTTTTCCTAAAAATATTTATTTGTAAAATCATTTTATATCACCTGTTATATTGGGGGTGTTTGGCAATTGGCGGTTGGCTGATGGCTGTTGGCCGGTTCTGTTGGCTGATTGGCAGCAACAGATTCTGTTGGCTGTTTTGATTAGCTGATAATATTAGCTGTTTATAAAACCGTGTTTGGTTATATGGTTGTTTACAATCAGCTGATGAATTGTTAAATTACTGTTAAGGACATCAATTAATTTATTTTGATTACTAACTACTTTTATACTACGTATGTGCTTAACACATTATTTTTATTTTTATTTAATAAAGTTTTTTTTAACGCATGGTTTTACAAAACATGTCCAAACATTAAACTCATGGTTTCAAGTTTATATTATAATATTATATACTTCGTATGAATTTATTTATTTATTTATTTATTTAATCATGTAGTCATGATAGATTGATAACCCATGCCCCATAGTGATATTCTTACAAAGGTCTCCCAGAGCACCAGTATTAAGAATACCCGTTGTTATTTTTGTTGGCACAATAGGAATTATAAATAAGCATGCGGCCAAAATGGAAAACGAAGTGACGAACAGGAAAAAAGGAGGTAATGTCGGCACAATAGGAATTCGCTATAAATATTCCAACGGCCAAGCAGGGGCGGGGCTAAGGGGGGGTCAGGGTGGTCAGCCGACCCCGCTGAAAGTTCAAGAATGTAGAGCTCTGAAATATCTTCGATTTGATATATTATGGGTCTCGTAACTCATTACGAGTAAAAAGTTATGACTTCCGGAAAAATCAGCACCATCTTAACTTGAAATAAGCAAAATTTGATGTGTGACATTGATTATATTCTTAAATTTAAAAATAAAACACCTTATTCAGTCATTAGTTGTGTGAATATTATGATACATCACACATATATCAATTCATTAACTGAAAAATGATCATTAAACTATCATTTATCTCAGCTACGTGTGAAACATTTAACTCAAATATTGTATAATAACTATCCATCATTTTGATACTTTATATTATTAAATTCCGACCCCCCTCACACATTTTTCTGGCTCCGCCCCTGCGGCCAAGTCCAAAACGTTGCCTTCATTAGCTTTTTAAATTTTAGCTTTTTTGAGACAAAAAGTTAAGTGAAATTTGAAAAAGCCAATCAACCAAACATCTGAATTACTTGTTTATCTGATCAAAAAGTAAAAAAGTGGTCAAATCAGCCAAAAATTGTATCACAGCCTCCTAACCAAACACCCCATTAACTTACTACTTACTTTTGTTAATATCAATCGTAACGAACATCGTCAAAATTCCATTGTTTTGTCCCCTCTTCATTATGTTTTGGGGTGGTTGGACATTCAAAAGAGTAAAATAGCCGTCCCCGTCCCAAAAACGTAGTTGAAAGCCTCGGTCAACTTAGACTGGATTTTCTGTCAGTGTTTAGTTTTCTGTCTTAATGCGGGCGGGTACTTATTTTAGATTATAGTTATTATTATACTCATAAAAATACCTTTTTCTAGTCAGTAAGTTGGAGGGTCAAGTTTTTCTTTCTTCTTCTTCTTGAGCAAGCAAAAAAAGCCATCACTGCTCTGCTATTCAATACCAGGTCAGCCTTTCTTTTTAGTAGTTGTGACATTTTCAAGATTAGTTAATATTTGCAATGTTCATTCTTAGGTTTCGATGCTGGATTTAAGTAGTAGATCATATGAAATGTGGGGTTGGTCACTGTCATAATAACTGCAATTTCAGCTTATTTTGCTCTACCTTCTTTGTTTTTCAATGACTTTCTGATAATTCAGCCGAGTAGTCAGCTGAATGTTTGAAACAGAAGATTGAATAGTCAAATCACGGAAAGTTGGGTTGTGATTATGAATACTTTGATTCCATTCTAACAAGAAGATCAGTCTAAACTCTAAAGTTTTACTTTTTATATGTTCAAAAAATACAGAAACGAGAACTGAACATTGACTTTTGATCCACATTGCAAATTTCAGGTACTGCTTATTCATTCATTCATTTATATATTTATTTATTTATTTATTTATTTATTTATTTATTTATTTATTTATTTATTTATTTATTTATTTATTTATTTATTTATAATTTAGCATCTGAAAGTAAGAAATGACTGTTCAAGCTAACAGATTGAGAGGAGTAGATTCAGAGATGATGATCCATTCAAATGGACCGGAGAAGACCATCCGGAAGATTTCAGCACGGTTAAGGAACTTTGAACCCACAAAATTAATGCTTGAGAGGACACTTTCTTTCACGGATCTTGTTGAAGATGTGGAAAGATCAATGTGGTCAAATGCTGCAAATGCAAAACCAATACTTACTTCCCTTCCAGAACCTTCTGTCATATTTTCTCCCCGCCCCAGTAGTGAGCTTGATGCAGCTGCTGTGAAGCTTCAGAAAGTATACAAGAGTTATCGGACTCGAAGAAACCTTGCAGACTGTGCTGTCGTGGCCGAAGAACTATGGTATACGTTCTGTTTCAATCTTCATTTAGACTTGTAGCTTCATATGAAAAATCACCCTTTTATCAGGATGAGTAGTCCAATTTTTATATGTCAGTGTTAGAAACTCACATGCAAAACTAAAGGGAGAATGATTGGTTGATAAGAGTATAAGACCCAGAGTTGAACTAACTGATAGATGGATTCAATCTTTTTATGAGGTTTGACCCAATTGTTTTATTATCTTTGTTCAGCTGTTTTAGTTCAATTCTGAATTCTATCAGTTGTTATAAACATTTATATTTGTATTTCATCTACGCGGGATTGATCATCAAGATGGTTTTTAATGATTAAGCCATGTTTAGTAATTATGGGGCACTAGATATGCTTATTTAGCAGTAATTTTGTTTTGTATTGATTTTTCTAATTCAGGTGGAAGGCCTTAGACTCTGCAGCTTTGAACAAGAGCTCCGTTTCGTTCTTCAATGATGAGAAACCAGAAACTGCCATTTCACGGTGGGCTAGAGCACGTACAAGAGCTGCAAAGGTTGGAAAGGGATTGTCTAAGGATGATAAGGCTCAAAAGCTAGCCCTACGGCATTGGTTGGAAGCGGTGAGCCTTTTGTATGTATCCACTTCTGTAATAGAATTTGGTATTCTATGTCACACCAAAGAAAAATGTGTATATGCTTTATTATTCTCAGATTGATGCACGGCATAGGTATGGACACAATTTGCACCTCTACTATGATGTGTGGTTTCACAGTGAAAGCTCTCAACCTTTCTTTTACTGGTGTGCTTTCCATTTTGGATTCTCTTGCTTTTCGTTTTGTTTTTTTACAATGTTTTGGAAATAAAGGAATATGTTGAAAATGTATACCTTAATTATTTCTGATACACGTATTCTTGAGAGTAGGCAATAGTTTATAATTTACCATTTTAATAAGGGTTAATTACATCTACCTCCGGGGGTTTGGTTACATTACCCCATGAACCTAAAGGTTTTTAAAAAAATGAATATGCCCCTTGACTAGTCTGTTTTTTTTTTACTTTCCACAAAGGACACCAAAAGATGATAACATATAATGATATTTGTAGGAGTTGAGTGATCTCTGACAACATTAGCATTAACACTTGTCCCCAAAAAATTATTTTAGAAAAACATTTAAAATTTTAAGCAGATAAATTGCATAAAAATACCAAATTCTATCTGAAGATGCATGTCACCATATTCTATAAAATCTTGGTGTTAAAATGGCTGTTCACCAAAAATCCCAGTAGTCAAGGGATTTATTTGTAATTTTGAGAAACCTTGAGGGTCATTTAGTGATTTGACCAATCCTCAGGGAAATAGATGCAATTAGCCCTTTTAATAATTTGTGCTTCCGTCTCAACTTGTCTTCATATTAGTTAGCATACAATCAAATACATGCATCCTCTCATGTTAGTGGTTTCCAATGAAGGTTGGATGTGGGAGACGGGAAAGAAATAAATCTTGCAAAGTGCCCAAGGATTATGCTGCAGCGCCAATGCATTCAATATCTTGGCCCAGTAAGTACTTAAATATGGATCATCTAGTCATATCAATATGTCATGCTTTTGAGGCTTCATAGTTTGACCTTTAAGAATGAAAACCCAAGTCTTAAGATATACTTATAGAGTGGGTGGCTGATTTAACTTTCACTTGATTTTTGTCGTACTATTTCAGAAAGAGCGTGAATGTTATGAAGTTATCATTGAAAATGGGAAGCTTGTATACAAGCACAAAAGAATCTTTGTGGAGACGACAGAAGCTTCAAAGTGGATATTCGTCCTTAGCACCTCAAGAACATTGTATGTGGGGCAAAAGAGGAAAGGCGTATTTCAACACTCGAGTTTTTTAGCTGGTGCAGCCATCATATCTGCTGGAAGGCTGGTTTCTCACTGTGGCATTTTGGAGGTAATTCAAGGTTTTGTTTGTAGTTTGTACAAATGAATAGTTTGAAAAAAATATAAGATTATTGCAGATTTGTACAGGCACTCAAATTTTGTTTTTCTTGTTGAAGGCAATTTGGCCATACAGTGGTCACTATCTTCCAACAGAAGAGAACTTCAGAGAATTCATTAGCTTCCTAGAGGAGCACTATGTAGATCTTTCGAATGTTAAGGTAGAAACTCGAAAATCATTTGAAGCTGTAAATTGTACTCTTATGTGAGTTCTTATTGTGTCTCGCTTCACTATGTAAACATCTCTGCCTTTGTGCTAGCCTTCCCTGGGCCGCCTATGCTTTCTTTCCCCAATATGACCCTATCTAATTTCACCCATGCTACATTTGACTCCGATGTTACCCTGCCCTACCTTTGGGCTATGACACTCTCTGAACTGGACTTTCAGATTTCTCTCATCACTCCGCTTCTCATTATTAACACTTGAGATTTCATTCTAAAAGATCAAGTAGTAAACTAGAAGTCTGCATAGCTGCCCCTTATTAAACCGTCAGATTTTATCTAATGAGTATAGTAGAAGTAACCCCAAGACCTAGTATGTGAGATGGATTCACATTTAAGTTTTTAAAATGTTGCTAATATGTTTATGAAAGCAACATGTAAATGCCACTGATAAGATGTCTATTTTGGCTTTCAACAGAGATCTGCTGTTGACGAAGACTCGTTTTCGTTTAAGATGATTGGTGAGGGTTCAGGTGGACGCTCATCTAAACATCTTTGTGCTGCTCAATCCGATGCTGATAGAACCACATCCGACGTAAAGGGTTCACTATATCATTTTCCCTGCAAGTGGTCCACGGGAAATGGACCACGTATTGGGTGTGTAAGGGATTACCCGACGGAGCTGCAATGCAGGGCGCTCGAACAGGTTAACCTGTCGCCTAGAGTTGCTACAGGTTGCGGCTTCATCGACTGCGGTCCGGTCCCATCACCACGGCCTAGCCCTGAAGTCCGGCTTTCTCCTAGGATTGCACACATGGGGTTGCCCAGTCCTAGGACTCACATCCCAGCTGGCTGCGTCTAATAATTGACGAAAGGTTACCCATCTCTGCTGCTTCTCAACTAACACCCAAATCTCTCCTTTTGGCATTCAATTCAATCAGTTTCTCTAATGTTTTCAAAGGTTTCATGGCTAAGATCATTCAGACTTTAGGTTTGTTTGGCTGATTAATTATTCTTTATGGGTCTTTTAAGGAGAGTTTTGGAAATGATGTTAGATTCAAGCAGTGCATATCAGCATATGTTCAGCAATAATAGGCTACTACTTTTTAGTGTAGGGTTGTATATAAGGAATAGGCTCATATATCAATCAGAGATAGAAACATTTTCTTTTTACTCCTGCATATATCACTGAAGTAAATTTCTTGTCATTGTATCGGAGTGTAAACTTGGGTTGAGGACCCGAGGAGAACTGGAGAACTTTTGAAATCTGCATATTTAAAAACTACCGCAACAGTTTCTGTTGAAGTACATACATGATAGATTGCATCCGAATGTGAAACATTATTTGAAAATATAAAGTTAAGGGTGTGTTTGGAAATGATTCTGCTTCTGCTTCTTTTCTAAAGCAGAAGCAGAATCAGAATCAATTTTCAGAAGCTGGTCATCCCCAGCTTCTAAAAAAACTAATTCTAGGAGTAAATTTGAGTATCATAATCACTTCTGCACTTTCACCCAAACACCCCCTAAATTGGCCTAAGAATTATAAGCCTAACATGCCCTTTAGGCTTTAGTTTTCCACTCTCGGATCCCATGGAGGGATCTTTGAAGGGGAGATTTAACGAGTACAAATTATCCTTCATTTTTGAAAAAGCATTTACAATTTGTGTGATTTAAGATTAATTGATGACAATGTTGAATTCTCCCCGCGGATAATTAGAGCATCTTGAATCATGATTTTCAAATGATCCGTTTTTCTTTTGAATGTGTTTTTCTAGTACATTGAATAGCCAAATCATTATAATGCAATAAAATTTAAATAATTTGAAAGCTCAAGATCCTCTATCAACAATTATTCTCATGAAGTTAGTTTTTCTACAATACACTTTAACTACAATATAAAACAATCTGGGATTTAAGTCTTTATAGAAGAGTTTCTTTTTTATTAATCCGCTAAATGATCTCTCTCGTTCAATGCTAATATTTGAAATAATATGACACATAATCTAATTAATCCTTAAAAAAATAGTGATGCCCTTAAGCCAGTTTTAATAATTAAATAAAGGGAAAAGGTGCAAATAGGCCCATGTACTAACCAAAAAAGGTCAAATAAGTCCTTATTTAGGAGGCTCTGTCCGGTCATCGCCATTTGGGGTGGTTCCCGGTGGAATTTATTGATGAAATATTTTGAGCATCTTATTCATCAAGTCTAGTTTACTCATACCAAATTTCAGTTAAAAATTCAATCAGGAAGGCATTCAAATGAATTCTTGAAGATAACTGCGATTCTAACTGCGCAGTTATTTTCAAGAATTCATTTGAATGCCTTCCCGATTGAATTTTTAGCTGAAATTTGGTATGAGTAAACTAGACTTGATGAATAAGATGCTCAAAAAATTTCATCAATAAATTCCACCGGGAACCACCCCAAATGACGACTCCCGGACAGAGCCTCCTAAATAAGGGCTTATTTGACCTTTTTTGGTTAGTACATGGGCCTATTTGCACCTTTTCCCTTAAATAAATATTTGACAAATTACATTGAAGTTCTATAATGTCACAAAAACCAAACTAGAATATAATAAAAAAAATCAATATCTTAAATAAGTAAATAAAATCAAATTGTATTAATCACAAAAGTATTCTTTCTAAATCATTTTGGAGCGGAAGAAGTATGATATTCCAAATTAGAAATATCATGTTTTCTCCTAAATACAAGGAAAGTATTGTGAGAAAGGGGAAGAGCCTAAGCACACTAGATATGATATTGTAGTGTGACTATAACGCTCACATGGAAGGTTCAATCCTTGAAAGCGGTCTCTTGTTAACATGATCAGAGAAAACTTTTCTTCAATACACTCTTGCAGCGATGCATGTTCTCGGACATCGTCTATGCCAATGTGCACTGGATTGCTTGTTTACAAGAAATTTATTAACATCCTGAAAGCACACATACATAATTTGACATTATCAAACTAATATGTCGTCACTACAAAAAAATAGGCTTTTTGTCACGGATTCTGTCCGTGACAAATTGTCATGACTATTGTCACGGATCCATCTGACAAGTCACGAAAACAATTTTGTCACGGAAAAATCCGTGACAAACGTTTTGCCACGGATTGTATCTGTGACAAAGGGGTTCCGGCGACCGAAAATTGATTCCGGCATAATTTTTTTTATTCCGGGAATTTGTCACAGACAGTTGTCCACGGTTGTCCGAATGATAGGCAATGTCATTCGGGGGTTGAGGCGAGGCATGGCAATGATATGGTGGTTGGGGATAGGGCGTGTCGCAGAGATGTTAGGGGGTTGAGGCGAGGCAGGGCAATGGTGGTTGGGGATATGACATTTCACCGGCGAGCGCACTGGGTGGTGGCTAGGTTTTTCTGGGCAGCGGCTTGGAGACGAGGTGAAATGGTTGGCCATGTCGTGGCTTGCCTGATCGGGGCTAGGGAGGGGTGGCTTGGGGCAGGTCAGGGACAGGATAGGGGTCAAAAGCTAGGGTTTGGGGTGTTGGGGCGTGGGGGATAGGGAGGGGCTGTGGGGGTGGCGGTGCCAGCGGGTGGTGGTGGTATCTGACTAGCCGTGGAGGTCTATGTTTCGCCAAAAAAGAATTCGTAAGAAAGATATTCATCGGTCACTGATATGTTGCATAGTCACATACTCACAATGACATGAAAATATGATATTGATGACTCTTAGTGACATGAAAAATCGCAATAACATAAATTTTTTACAACGCTTACTATAATAGCTCACTTTGTTGTTTACCTATTTGCAGCCTGGACAACCAAGTGAAAGAATTGTTGGTGGATGTCCATGAAGTGGTAGAGAAGAGCTGAGATGTTGAAGTTTTTGTGTGGATGCGTGTGAAGATGATAAGGCTGGTGTATTTTGGCTTGAAGGCTCTCATGATTGATGGATAGGTGTAGCCCATGTGCTGTTGTCCTTTTTTCTGCCCTTTAAAGAGGGTTGTTGTGGCTTTTAAATGTGCCTTTTTTGCTTTTTTGTTGTATTTCGGATGTAAGGCAGAATCAAACTTTGGGGGGCCATTTACAGTTGGCTTTATTTCCTTCCATGATATAATGTATTTGGATGCTTTATTGGGCTTTATATGACTCATATTAAAAGTGCTGTGCTGTATTGTTATTTGTGTTGTAGACAGCTTATTATATACTTAATTTCAGAACACTTATGGCATCTTTGATGGATCAATGTTAGCCTATAATGTCAGCACATTCATGTGCTACTTAATGTTAATTATCAGCAATGTTAACAAAATTTCAGCCTGTTATGAATGGATTCATGTGGTACTTAATGTTACTTGGCAGCAATGTTAATCTAAGTTAAACCTTGCTGCACATATCATCTGTCAAAAAAAGGCAGCTTCATCCATAATCTATCAACAACCTTAATTGTACAAAGCTATATTAACCTTTATACATGTAAACAACATATATGTGCAGTAAGGTTTTCCAAACCTATTATTCATCCTTCATCCAGTACTCCCACTTTATTATACATGGATTAATCTTAAACTATATGCATCCAAAGAGTACTGATAAACAAAGACATCCAGTACTGATAAACCTTTATATAACCTTCATCATAAAGAAAAAGTACTGATAACAATAACATCCAAGGAGTACTGATAACAATAACATCGAAGGAGTACTGATAAACAGAGGCATCCAGTACATGTCAAGCATTCATAAACAACACACCTACTTAACCATTGATTACACATCCAGTACTAACATGTACTACACAAGCCACCTACCCTTTTCACTACATACTACTCAGCTTACAATACAACATTCCCAGTAAACCAATTACAACAACCAAACCAAATCCAAACAACTTCCTATACATCTTGGAATCCTTCTCTGCAGCTTGAACTACCCTTCGCACACCATTGAGCTGGCCTTGCATAGCAGTTAATTGTTCACCAACTCTAGATACCATGACTTTCAAATCTTCAGTGTTTTCATTCATCCCTGCAACGTTAGGAACCCCCCTCGTGTCCATTGAGTCCGCCCAGGAAAAAAATCTGCACCCATGAACCTGTTCAATGCTAACCTATATTATGATTTGCATCTTTAACACCAAAATAAAGCAATTATAACATGGGATTCCTTATAACATTTACCTTCCATTTTTGACACCCATAGAACTTACTCCCACTCTGTCGCGATACACAAAGGGGAGCTTTCAGTCCACAGAAGCAAAACACAGCCGGGTCGTAATCAAGGGTGAAGTTCCGTCCTCTTCTCGCAGTGGAAGTCGATGAGGATGAAGTTGCCATTTCCGTTCGAGCTCACTGATCTCACTGCACAACCGGGAGGAAGAGAAGTTAAGAAATAAATGGCCTAGGGTTCTTTATCAGATAAATCGCAGATGAGGAGAGTCATGATGACGAGGACAGAGGTTTTAATTTATTTTTTTTTAAAATTGATTTTTCCCGGTTAAGTATGCCACGTTAGAAGCCACGTCACCCGGTAACTGGCTAACCGGCTGGCAACTGGCTAAAAAACGTATTTGACCGTTATTTTGAAATATGTGAACCCAATTGACCGAAAAAATTGTACATGGACTCAATTGACTTTTCGCTCATAGTAGTGGACTTAATTGACTGTTTTCTCTATTTTAAATTAAAAGTGCATTCGTCATTTCGTCTCGAAGCCGCATTGACTGGGTTCTTCGTCTGGCGATGGAGTCTCTCGTAAAAAATAAGTACAGACTCGGCCGGAAAATTGGCAGTGGCTCGTTCGGAGAGATCTTTATCGGTACGTATAATTTATTGGTGTACGCTTCCTGGAATTTCCAGAGACTCACTTGATTTTTAACAACCTTTCTGGTTCTCTTGATACAGCCACTGATTTGCAGACGAATGAGGAAGTAGCAATTAAGCTTGTGAGTCAGCTCTCTGCTTGAAATTAAGCTTATCCATATTTGTTTGTCTTTTTGGTATATACGTCTTGCGTTCATCACTGGATTCATTTTGAAGTCTATTTCTATGCCGTATCATTTCATATCCTAGGCAAACCATTTCAAGTCCCGCTTTATGGCTTAAAATTGCGTAATTGTATTTTCATGACGTTTTTTTTATTCATAATGTTAAGAATACTTTTGCTTCAAAGCCTTATTTATACTAAGCATTTGGAAAACCATTTAATAAAATATTCGGTTGATTCTCTTCAGAAACTGTATTCTTTGGATACTTTCTTATTTAACATGATTAGCTTACAGGTAAGGATCATTTTCTCCCAACACTGATAAAACAAATCCGCTCAAATCAACAAGTTCAGTTAGATTTTTGTCACTGTATGTTCGTTTTAGTAAGTTCTGTATTGCTATTTTGAGTTCTTATGGTACTCTGAATTAGCAGTATGCACTCATTCTGTCAATTCAAATTGGACGTGTTATCCCTTCATCACAAGATAAAAGGCTTCTTGCCGTGTTTAATCTCCCTCCCAATTTGTTGTATTGTAGTCATCATTTATATTCAGATCATGGTTGTTCTTGTGAATTGCAACTGCAAGAATTGGGAGAACAGTCTAATTTCCAAATGTTTCAAATATAACCACTGCACATTCTCTCAAACTGACTGTTTCCGTAAGAGTCATTTTCACTACCATAAAGACCAAAATGCTCTTCTAGTCAATTTTTGGATGTTATTTTACTAGAAATCAGTTCTAGTTGCACCCTGTTAGCTATCTAACTACATAAAAACTGATACATTTGTGATATTACAGGAAAATGTCCAGACAAGCCACCCACAATTACTTTATGAGTCAAAGTTATACCGGATTTTACGAGGAGGAAGTAATAGACTTTGTTTTAGCTTACATAACTTTGACTTACATGCTCCGTTTATTTTATCTCCAATGGTGGAATTATAATTGTATATTTTATGTTGTAGCTGGAATTGCAAATGTGAGGTGGTTTGGTGTCGAAAGAGACTACAATGTGATGGTCATGGATTTGCTTGGCCCCAGTCTTGAAGATCTGTTCAACTTCTGTAGCATGAAGTTTACTCTGAAAACTGTTCTCATGCTTGCGGATCAAATGGTAAGTTCTTTATTTGCATGTTTTTGTGGACCAATTCCCTTTTCTACATGTTGATATATGCTCTTTAATTGTTTACAACAGATCAATCGTATTGAGTTCATACATAGTAGATCATTTTTGCATCGAGATGTCAAACCAGAAAATTTTCTCATGGGAATAGGAGAGCGTTCAAATCAGGTCTTGTTATGATTTAGTTCATTGATCCTTTTCTTCTTTGTAGATATTTATGAATTATGACTAACATTTTGTCTTAAAAGCAGGTCTACATAATTGACTTCGGTTTGGCAAAGAAGTATAGAGACACTTCAACTCACCAGCACATCTCTTACAGGTAGGTACTCAATAAAAAGTTGCTGCTTATGCATATGTGTTGTGTTCGTATGTAAATACGCTTGCAGCCTCTATATATTTCACTTTGCTCTTCAAATGAGCATGACTTCATGGTTTTTTCAGAGATAAAAAGAAATTGACAGGAACGGCAAGATATGCAAGCATTAATACTCACCTCGGTCGCGGTAAACATTTGACCTTTCGAACACACAGTTGTCCTTTCTATGTTTTTCGTTTCTTTTTGCACTAACTCAAAGTGAACGACATTCAGAACAAAGTAGGAGGGATGATCTGGAATCTCTTGGATATGTTCTATTGTACTTCCTGAGAGGAAGGTAATAACTACTGGATAATACTTATGATTAGGAATTTGGTGTATTTGAGCCAACCCTGGTAACTTCGGGTTCATTTGGAACTTGGAAAATTTCTAGGAAAGATTATAGAAAGGAAATTTTGGAAGAAAAGAATATTTGGGGAAAATAATACGGAATATAATATAAAAGCATTTATCATAATCATTTTCCTTTCATTTTCTGAAGTAAAACTTAAAACAAAAAATAACATTCTTGCATTTCTCTCTTTTTCCTTGCATTTTCCTGGATCCAAAGATACCCTTAGTATGTTGAGATTGAAGGCTGAGAGTGAGACCATCCAATCTTATCCTCAGCCTAACCGTGATCAAATCAGTTCAGACTGATCTGATTCAATTCTATATCCAGGGTTGCGGGCCCTTAGCGCTAGTGTGGCTCTTCTCATTTACGGCCCTAGTTGAAGATTTTCGCCTAGCATGTCTTTTGACACATTTATTTACAGTCTTCCTTGGCAGGGAATAAAGGCAGGGAACAAGCGGTGCAAGTATGGAAGGATTAGTGGAATGAAGATGTCTATCCCTATTGATGTACGGCTATTTGCAAACAGGAATGCAAGATAACTCTAATTTTTATTTGGTGTGTTAAAAGGAAAGCTGCTGAATATTTGTCTTTTTTAATAGGCCTTATGCCGAGGATATCCTACAGAGTTCGCTTCATATCTTGAGTACTGTCGTTCCCTACGCTTTGAAGACAAACCGGATTATGCTTATCTCAGGGGACATTTCCGTGACCTCTTCTTCCGCAAAGGTGAATACCTAAAGTAAATACTCCCTCCATCCCAAAAAGAAGTTAAAAAAACTTTGTCCCAAATTACAAGTTTTGTTTCATTAAACATGGCTAATGTTTCATGTAATTGTCCAAATGAAAAGTTTTGAAAAAGTTAAATTTAGACAAAATTTGAAAAGCCTTGATGAAAGAAGACTTTTTTTTGGAAGAGTACGTACTATTTCTCCCTTGAGAAAATAGTTTCATCTTGACTGTTTTTTACTCGAGAGAAACAGAAACCTACTTGCCTATGTAGTGTGTACATCCATCCATCCATCCATCCATTCATTCATCATCATCATCATAACCCAATGCCGCAAAGGCTCCCACCCCAGTGCCTATGTAGTGTGTACATGTTTTTTATTTTGCCTATGCAGGATTTCAGTATGACTATGTTTTTGACTGGACTATTTTGAAATATCAGCAAACAGAAATGGAAGCTCCTCCTTCTAGATCTCTTGTAAGTTGCAGTATTTTTAAGCTAATGCAGATTTTACTCCATGCACCTCTCTATATTTAAAGTTTAAACTTATTTGTTTGTTTCAGAGTCATGGTCCTGGAACTGGCGCATGGATGCCCCCCTTAATCCCCAGTGTGGAACGCCAGTCTGGTAACATTACAGTCAAATGCCCTATGGTCACTTTATAAAATGCT